CAGGCTGCAGGGGACACCTGAGCTGAGTTTTCAAAGAGGGTCAGACAGCCAAGGCAAGTGAACAGTATTTGCAAAGGCCTGGAGGTGTGAGAGAGCATGGGGGCGGGGGGAGAGGTGTTAGAGGGGCAAACATGCTCTATGGGAGAGCCCAGAAAGTGTGAAGGACCCTGTGTGGCAAACCCCCACCCCTTCTCATTCTCTTTAATTCTGCCAGCTTCCAAAGCCCATCTCAGCTTCATTTCCCAGCTCCTCAGAGACCCCATCTTGCTCTTACAGAATTTACCAGCTCCCAGCTTTCATTTATTACATTTAGCTTCTCAATTATAACCTTCCTTAAAGCAGGAGCCGAGTCTGATGTACCTTTTTACCTGCCACAGCACCTAGCCCAGCATATTCTAAACAGAAGGCTCTCAGTGTGTTTTGAGTAGGTGCATGAAGCTTACGGAACTGATCGTAGCTCAGAGTGTGAGCACCCAGCCTAACCACTAACCACGCAGCATGTTCAGAGTTACGACCTCAAACACAGTCCGCACTTGGGGCTCTCCTGTTACCTGGTTCTGGATACAGTTCTGTCTAGTTAATGTGGAGATGAGGAGCAGGGTTAGTGTTAACGTTGTGAGCAGGGCTCTGAAAGAGTCTGTAGATGTCAAGAACCAATGGCTCCTGAAATTAATTTGTAGGGAAAGACCTTCCTTCCCATGTTTCCCAGTGGCTGCTGGGAAGGGCTGAAGGGCTCAGGCCTGGCTCTGGAACAGGTTCCTTCTAGAATAGGCCAAGGCCCTTACTGGGGGACCTGTGACATGGAGGCAGCATCTAGCAACACCCTCTGCCTTTTACTTTTTTCAGTTGCCAAAAACACCTTCACGTCTCCCAACTCTCCAAGCCTTATAGCAACTTGAGGCAGCCAAGGCAGAGGGGGCCATTCCTGCCTGCCCATTAGGACACTGAGGGACAGGAAGACAGAGATGGCCACGGCTGGGGTAGGGCAGGATTTTCATTTCCTCATCTGTAAAGAAGATGGCACGATCAGACTGTGCAGGGAGCTGAGGAATGACTGTTCTGTGAAGCCATGACCCCACTTCCCTACCTAAGTTCAGTCCTGGCCCAGGACTGCAGAAGCAGGGCTGCGGCCCAGGCCACCTGGGTCTCCCGCTGGGTCTCTAGACTTCTAAGGCTGGCCGTGAGGGAGTCTGAGAGAACGGACCCCTAGACTACTGCAAGGTAGCTTCCAACTGGGAACCAAGGCACAGCCTCACCCACAGCAGGCTGCCCAAGGACTGCACTCAGAGACTCCACAAAATTTTCAAGCTTATAGTCCCTCCCCATTCAATCCTGCTCCACCTACTACCAGTTACCAAATCTCTCTGGGACTCAGTTTCCTCATCTGCAGAATCAGTGACATACTCCTACCTTGTCTACCCCGAGGCCGTGAAGCAACACAGCCGAAACTTCCCTACAAAGCACCAGTGCTAGAGCCCTTCCCTTCACTCTGACACTGTGCCCCCCAACTGTAAGTGCCCGGAGGCTATTGAGGGCTGGGGTTACCCCAGTTCTCTAGCTAAGCACTTCCCTCTAGACCAGCCAGCCGTTCTGACCCCTTCACACCATGGGGGTCTCCTGCCCAATGACACACACACACACACCCCTTTGCTGACTCCAGCCTGTCTCGGGCCCCTGCTGAGCAACCCCTGCACAATAGGGCTCTTGTATTCCCTACCCCTACCAGGTCCCAGCCTCTGGCAGGTTCCCCCAACCCACCCGCAGAGCTCCACAGCAGCCAGAGTTCCTCACCACTCCCTCCTTAACCCTCTTCTCCTTGCAATCCCTCCACTCTCTCCACCCTCACCCCTTCCGAAGAGCTCAGTCCCAGGTTCCCCTCACCCCTGACTCAGAGTGCCTGGCTGTATTCTCAAGCCCACCCAGGTCCGACCCAGGTCGCAGCTCTCTCCCGCAGCCCTGGACCCTTCAGGTAAAAAAAAAATGTGCTAAGTCAATTCACAATAAGGTACCGGTGGGTTGATAATGTATTTTAAAGAAGGCCAAGGGTGAGAAGCTTTGCCCAAAGGAGTGAATGACTACTGAATGTATTGTTAGGTCCCAAGGCACCAGTATAAGGGATATGTTGTACGGACACTCCTGACGCTCCCCATACAGGAACCTACGCATGACACAGGTCCTAGGACAGGCCAGAGCTTAAGATAGATTTTTATCTCTAACACAGAAAATAAAACCGACTCCTCTCTGTTTTCAGCTTGCTAAGTTTTAGACAAGGCCCTATGGCCGGCCACCCCCTCCAACTGCCCTACCCTTATTGCTGCAGCTGACTTGTGTTGCTCAGGACTCAAGCCACCTGGGAGACGGACTGGGGGAGGGGAACAGGTTCCAGGTGATGCTGATGCCCCAGGCCTGGGAGCTACACTGGCCTATAAGATGCTCCTCCCAGATTCAGCCAGAAGCAGTCGTGGATCGGGGTAGGAGGAGACCACTGACCTCATAGGACAAAGGTTGATAGGGAATCTCAAGTCAAAGGGGAAGGCTCCTGAGAGGTTTGCATCACTTCCCCCAGGCCAAAGGATCTCCTGACCACCTGGCAAGTAGAAGCGCTCTGAATCGCCACCAGCACACTTGAGGGGGCGGGGTCCAGGCCCAGCTGTCCTACTTACTGGATCTTGTGATCTTTCTGTAAGGCACTTTTTGTCTCCCCTCTCGTGTGCGAGGCACTTTATTATACCTACTATTTCCACTCCTTACAACCATGCAAGGAGCTATCCCTGAAACTTGCAGAGGTAGGATCTGAACCAGACCTACTTCTAAAGCCCAGGCTCTTAACCTCCAGGTGATTCTGCCTTAAGAAATGACACCAGAACAGTTAATTTTAGGAAGCAGAGACTCCCCATACCTCAACTAGTGTGTGTACCATGTCTCTCCCCCACTTACCCCGGGGCTGATTTTAATTACAGACAGAGCTAGCTTGGGCAAGTAGAATGATGAGTAAGTGGGAGGGGGGAGGGGCAGAGATTCTCAGAAAGCAGAACTCACCAAGGTGGGTCAAGCTAGTTGTAAACTTCACCTTCTCAGAAGCGAGGAGCTGGACCCAATGCTTACTTCTAGCTCTAGGATTCTAAGAGATGACTACTTTTAAAGAGAATTATTTTCTAAATTAAGAAACACAGCTGAAGGAAAACCTGTCCTCACAGCCCTAGAGGAAGGCGGTCAGCAAACCCTCGTAAGGCAGTGCTCAGGGGTGCCCGGGTCAGCCACAGAAATGGGGTGCACACGGGCTCTCAAGATCAAGTCTCCATGTAAAGCTGCCCATCTTTGGATGGAGAAGTCAGAGCCCAATTCCTTCCCTTCCCTTCCCTTCCTGGGGCCCAGAGCCTTCACCCCTGGACTGTGAGCCGACAGCTGGGCCTTCCCTATCCTGCTCACTGCTGTCTTCGCACCAAGCATTAGTTATCAGCACATCGGAGGTACAAAAGGTGTTGTATGAATCGGCATGTTGCCAACATGCCTGCAGTGTCCGCTGGGACTCAGTCAGCGGCAGGATTTCCCTACCTACCTGCCCCCTAGATGCTCAGAGCCCTATCTGAAGCTGAAGAACTACAGTAAAATCAAGAGGCTGGGAGATTCACTTCTTAAAACTTATTTTAATATCCTCCCCGCCCCCCCCACCCCAAGTTGGGAAAGTTGAAAACAGTCTGGCTGGGTTCAATTACAAATTAATACACATTTTTTGTCATTGTTTAAAGCAAATCAATTGTGGCAATAAGGGATTATCCTTGGAAAAAGTGAAACCCATATTAACAAAATATATCATGGAAGAACCCCACTTAGTGATTTCATTGGCTGTTTAAAAATCTAGAAAAAGTCAGCATTCTGTATGTTCTCTGGGCCTAGTCCATGTAGTGGAAGGAGGCCTTGCCCAGACTAAAGCAAGTCCAGTCAGCTCCAACCAGGTCCTAGACCCAAGGGAAGCGAGGAGAGAGGGCATCCCTTCTTCAGGAGGGCAGAGAAGGTAGATCAACAAATAAAGTCCTGCGGCTCCACTTACAAGTCCAGGGGGGAGGAGGCAGGAAGTTAGAGGGGAAGGCTTAAAGATGCAGCATTCTTTCAATCTTAAAAAAAGAGAAGTTGGGAATAAAAAAAAAAAGGTCTTCCAAGATCACTGAATGAGAAGAGAAAACAAGGAATAGAACTTAATACTCTGAGTCAGTCTCAACTCATCCATCTCTTCACGCATGCCACACACCATCCTTCCAGGGCGCTCAACCTTTGAGACCCATAGGGACTCTCTGCTTCCTAGCCTGAAAGTCATGGTTAGAAAAAGGTACCATACACATACATACACACGTATGTCACGTGTTAAAGTGTGTATAAACACTTGCGACAAAATGGAAATCTGGAAGAAAAAATTTATCTGTAACAACTTGGAAAGCTGGGCGCACCGACGGCTCCCAGGCTGACTTCCTTCCATCCAGAGTTCCGCAAGACGGTACCTCCCCACCATCATCTCTCCAGCTGGGATCCAACTACATCTTCCCCTAAGAGCACCTGGGACCGAGGGGAGTAGGGCAGGGCAGGGGCACAAAGCCAACACAGGTGCCAGCAAAAGTGTCCCCGGTGACATGTTTCACGCGTGAAAGAAAGACTGAGTTCTGTGAGAGCTCTCTAGCCTTCCTGACTTCCCTCCCCCTGCCCAGGGGACTCACATGCCTGGATGCTGCTGCATCTTTAAATATTTCTGGCTCAGCCCTCTTGCCACATATGTCAGTAACATTCCAAGCTGGCTACCACATGCTCAGGCTCTGGCCTTCTCCCCTCTCTACTGTCGGGTGCTCTGCTGCTTCAGGGCATGGTGGGGCCACGCATCTCCCATTTCAGCTCCGTCTTCAGTCGCTCACACATCTCAGAAACAACCAAATGTAAGGGGGGAAAAAAGAGTTCCAAAGAATGTTCATATTCGAAATACCTATCTCCCTGGGATTTTTTTTTCAACTCCACTTGATCAATCTATTGAAGTGAGACAAAGCGTGTGTGCACATGCACACACAGACACACACACCAGCACACACCCACGAAATGTAGAGGGCTGGAAGTTGTTTCCTGCCAAAAGATCTAACAGAGGAAAGCTTATGAGCTGATCAAGTTTTAATATTGCGGTTAACAAGAAAGATACACCATTTAGCAAGCACACAGAGACCACGGGGAGGACCTTCCGATCCCTAGAGCATTTGGCTCCCCGGCCTATTTTCTGCCTACCTCTGGAACAGTTTTTGATAGTTACTACATTCAGAGAATCCAAGAGGACTGCATGGACAGATGAACCTTTATTTAAAAAAATAGCACTTCAAATAAATTAAAAGGGACAACCGTCAAGTGTTCAAATTGTGAAGAAAGAGTTGAAAACCTAGAGACTCCAAGCTGCGGGCTTCTAACCTCGTTCTTTGTCCGACGGCAAAGCCCCACACACCTCAGTCCTCCCACTTGACACCTTCCCTGCTGAGACGAGGGAAGCGATTGCAAACAGGAGACCGGACGGAGGAGAAAGCTGCATCTGACTGGAATGAACATTGCCACGTACTTGCTAATACGGGTTTCACTTTATGACCAAATGTATTCTTTCAAAAATAAAAAAGGGGGGGGGAGGGAAGCTGCATGTTTTTAAAAATTGAAATTATTTAGGGATAAAACACTAACTCTAGTGCCTTTAACGGGCAATAGCAACTTTTTTCCTCCGAAGTCAAACACCATCCCCAGCTGAGCCTTTGTGCTACAAGCTTTTCAGGAGATGTTACCTAAACTTTATTAAAAGAAAAGAACAAGTTTAAATATAGACACTGGACTAGCCCAGTCTGTATTTTCAAGTCCACATTCTTCATCTGAAGCACTGCATCAGGGACCCCCCCTGAGTCTGCATGTTTTCAAGTTCACAGTACATGGAACCAGTTTTTCTTTTTAATTTTTTCCTCACTCAGAGCAGCCACACGCAGTGGCCGTTGACGCCGGAACCTCGGGCGGGGCCTTTTCCTACGAGGCCTGGCCAGAGCTGCCCAAGGTTTCTCCTCAATGAGAATCGATGCTGTCATGCTCTATGGATGGGAAAAAAGCAAGAAAATAAAAGCACCTGGTACAGGTTTCATGAGATCCATTCGGATTCGCTATGTCCCAAACCCGCTGCTGAATGCCATTTGTCCACTTTGTGTGTGCTGAACAGTTCGCGGCCTAGGAGTGGGTCTCAATTCGAAGAACTGTTATTGGACGCCCCCGAGGTCGATGCAATAGCAGCTCCTGCAGGGCTACTCGTGGAGACCGACTTTCGGATGTGAGGCAGCAAGTAGGGGTCACAGGCCAGCTGCTGGACATCGATGCGGTCCTCCTTTCGGTAGGCTAAGCATCGTCGAATAAACGCCTGAAAGGAAAGGTTCTTGAAGAAGCCTGAGGCAGATCATCCTGGTGCCCCCAGAGGGAACCCTGAGGCTCTGTAGTGGCTGCCAAGGCCCAGCCCCGGAGCAAATGTCTTCTACAGAGAAGGGGCTCAGGGCCCTTCCCAGAAATCCCCGGGCACACCCAGACAGGACCAGGCAAGGAGACGCGTGGGCAGCCGCACCTCTCTCTGGCCACGGACTATTTCCCCGAAGGAGGCGGCCAAGCCATTCCTGAGGGGGAATGGGGCACGACCCGACCTCTAAATACCTCTGCCCCCAGAGCACAAAGACCAACACAAAAACCACTCTCTCTCTGCCTTGGCCGGTTTACCCGGGCACGTCTATCTTCACGGTCCTGCGTGTACAAACCATGGCCTCACGTGAACTTTCTACTTCCTGAGGAAGTGAAAACTGCGATGACAGGCCACCACCACAGGCAGGGTGAGGAGACCCACACTTACTAACACTACAGTGTGTCACAGATAGGTAAATGCTTCCCGTGTATCTCATTCTTCCTTGCAATGATCAGGCACACACCTAAGTAGTAAAGGAAAACCTGAACAGGACTTGTCTCCCCAAGAGTACTGCAGACATAGAATCATACTGTTGAGTTGGGTTTCATTCAGAATCCTAATGTACTACCAACATGGAAGTTTCCTTTGTGCTAGGTATGAAGGGCTACACAGGCTCAGTTTCTACAATTCTTATCACAAAGGCCCTTAAACAGATGATCTATCTTTTCCTATTTTTTAACCAGACCTATTTAATCAGAGTCTTGTAATGTAATTATTTAAATAAATAAATTGATTTTTAAAAATCTAAAATGTCATTATCACCCTCAGGCCATACTTTACATTTGGGTGATGATAATGTCGCAATGTAGGTCCATCGATTATAACAAATGTCCCACTCTGGTGCAGGAGGCTGTGCATGTGCAGGAATGGGGAATACATGGAAACTCTCTACTTTCTGCTCAATGTTGCTGTGAGTCTAAAACTGCTCTAAAAAATATAGCCCAGGGGCGCCTGGGTGGCTCAGTCGATAAGCGTCTGCCTTCAGCTCAGGTCATGATCCTGGGGTCCTGGGATCGAGCCTCACATTGGGCTCCCTGCTTGGAGGGAAACCTGCTTCTCCCTCTCCCTCACTTGTGTTCCCTCTCTCGCTGTGTCTCTGTCAAATAAATAAATAAAATCTTAAAAACAAAAAAAACCAATCTTTAAAAAAATAAAAATATAGTCTAACAAAGTCTCCTAAAAAAAAAAACCCACAAAACACCTAAAACAAGATGTAATGATTTTCTTTTTCCATGTTTAATTAATAAAAACCAAAAGTACAGCAACAATACTGGTTTTCCAAAATCAAACACATCTATAGGTAGCTGCCTGATTAAAGTATTTGGAAGATAAAAACAAACTCACAAAAATAAACTTAATAATCCTTGGCCTTTAAAAACGAACCTTTCTCAGTGAGATATGACACGGGAGTTAAATGGGTTACCTCGAGTTGGACAGCATAGTTACTGGTCAAATAATTCCACCTTGAATTTTCTCTCCACACAGCCGCCAGGGCAGGCTTTTGAAACAGGGATCAGATCACACAGCTGCCCTGAGTAAAACCTTCGAGTGTTTCCCATCTGTCCTGCTGCCTCTCCCACTGACCACCCTCCCCTCCGCTCTCTGCTCTGTGGATCTGCTAAGCTTGCACTTACATCTCAGCTGCACACACTTCTCTGCTTGGACTATTCTTCTTCCAAATCTACACATGGCTCCCACCTTCACATCACTCAAGATTGCTCATTGGTCACTTCACCACTGAGGCCGTCCCTGACCAGGCCATCATAAAAGGAGTTCTGGCCCCTCCATCTTCTTACTTGCATTTATTTTTTACCATCTGAGATGGATCTGTTGCTAGTTATTGTTTGTCTCACCTGCTGGAACAGAAACTCCTAACAGGCAGGGACCCCATCTGTAGTTCATTGCTACACACTCGCCATTATTCCCTCTCTGCCACCTAGACAGGGCCTAGTTCTCACCAGGCACCCGAAGCAGTTATTGTAGGAGGAGAGGGTTGAACAGGATTCAGAATGAGGAGGTTTTGAATGACTCCTGACTTTTATACTGATAATCCATCCACTATTACCCAGAGAAATAATACAGTCATTTCCTGCTGGCCAGTGGGTCACAACTTACCTTTGCTTCTGGTGTTACTACTGGCTTTGGCGGGAACTGCACTTCAGTAGCTTTAAGAATAGTATTTTCTTGTAGAATGTCTTGCTGGGACTGGTTGTGGCCAAAAGGCTATCATACAAAAACAAAACAAAGGTGGGCCTCTGGTTAAAATTAAAGAGAACACAATTCAAAACCTTAAGGAAGGGAAAGAAAACATGCCTCAGTGAGAACTGCTAGAAAGAACTTTGGAGGGGCGCCTGGGTGGCTCAGTTGGTTAAGCGACTGCCTTCGGCTCAGGTCATGATCCTGGAGTCCCGGGATCGAGTCCCACATCACGCTCCCTGCTCCGCAGGGAGTCTGCTTCTCCCTCTGACCCTCTTCCCTCTCGTGCTCTCATTCTCTCTCAAATGAGTAAATAAAATCTTTAAAAAAAAAAAAAAAGAACTTTGGAGATGGTCTCCTCTAACTCTCTCTTTTTATAGGTGAGGGGTAGAAAGGCTCAGAACTTAATAACATGCTCACAGGACAACATCAAGGTTAAGGCAGAACTGGGACAGGAAGCAGCATCTGTCATATCACGACACCTCTGTTCAGCTTTGCTTACAGCCAAGAAAAAGAACATTCCAGAAGGAACCAGCAACCTCTTCTCCCCTGAGTGATACCTGTAGGCTTAAGTAATACATATGCATGCCACTGGCAGACCCAAGACACAGGTAAAGAGAGATGGAAAAGGAAGTAAAAGAGAAGGAGTAAGTACAAAGGGGGGGGGGCTGGGGCTATTTAACAGCTTCATCTGTACCCCAATGTGCCGTTTTCTTTTCTTTTGCCCCCCCAAAAGATTTTATGAGTGTGTGAGGGTGGGGGGTGGGGAATCTTCAGCAGCTTCCTCGCTGAGCGAAGAGCCTGATGGGGGGATTCATCTCACGACCCTGAGATCATGACCTGAGCCAAAATCAAGAATCAGATGCTTAACCGACTGTGCCACCCAGGAACCCCAATTTTCTAATAAAGTCTTAAAATACAAGTTCAAGCCTAGTGTCATCTCTACAGTGCCTGTACATAACCCCTACCAACATTATCAGCAGCACTTCCACATTATCAGAGAATAAGTAATAATTAACTCCTCCGGGGGCACCTCCCTGGCTCAGTCAGTAGAGCACGCAACTAGATCTCAGGGTTGTGCGTTGGAGCTCCATACTGAGTGTAGGGATTACTTAAAAATAATAATAATTAACCCCTATGGCTGGTTCTGAATCATTTCCCCATATTAGAGAGGTAAGATAAAGAAACAAAGACCAAGGAGAAGTTAAAGAGGAAGATGAAATCTGAACGAAGAGCTTGGTTTGGGGACTGTAATAAAAATATTAAGAGTCCGAGGGAGTTGCAGAACTCCCAAATGGCTTATACCCACAACCTACACTGTCAGGACCACCAACAAACTTCAGGTATTTATAACACACTGACAGCAAGAATTTGAGTATACACACACCGGATCCTAGTATGTATGTTTATTTATAAGGTAGTAGGCTCATAAGGAAAACACAAATGTGAAAATTCATTAGGTATAGTTTATTACCTAGGTTATTATGTGTCCAAATGATCTATCACCTTGATCCAGAGGTAATAGACAGTGAATACTTTCTAACACTACACCTCCCTAGTACAGAAAATAGAAAGCATGCTTTTATTAATAATAGCTTTAACTAATGGGATGGCTGGGAATAAAGAGCCCTGTAGATATTTCAAGTTTCAGTTCTTGGGACCTTAAAGAATGGCTCCTGGAATGACTGTATACTTTAAATAAACTATTTCATATAATTCCTTGTATATATTATCAGAAACAAAACATACCCTGGATCTAACTGAAAACAGCAAAAACGCATGTTTTCAATAGCCCAGTGGAATTCATTAAGTACTCTAGGGTTGAAAAGTTCTGCTTATGCATAAAGCTTTTATTATTGTCTGTATTTTCTTCAAACCACAACTTTCAGGATTCCATTCTGTATAACCAAATGATTAATTCCAAGAGAATCATCGACACCATGCCAGTGTGTACATGAAGCCCAAGACAGACGTCAGGCCACCACATCTGACCTTCTTCCTTACCTTCCTTCCATAAAGACACTGGTAGAAGATCACACCCACTGACCAGACATCAACTTTATTTGAGATCTTTGGTGGCTCTTTCCCAACCACAAAACACTCTGGTGGTAAATACCTGGGACAAAAGGAAAATAAAAATTCTTAGAAAAATGACTGTATAAAATCTAGGACATGTACAAAAAGGCAAAGTAGGAGACCTTAGGGGAAATAAAAACTATCTGAATTTTAACTGAAATTTTGCCAAAAAAGCAACTGGGCCTAGCTGGGTAAAGTCAGCGAGAAGATACTCTAACTTAAGGAGGCAGTCATGTCCTAAAAGCCTTAAAATACACTTCTCAATTCACTGAGAGGGGCAAATATTCCCCCCAGTCCCTGCTTCACCCACCCCAGCATCCTTTCCCAGGGTTGTGCCCTAATATAAGTGTCATTCAACAAGTTCCAGAAAGGAGGGACAACACAAAAGCAGCGCATTCCAGCTTTTATGAGCTGCAGCAACAAACATCCAAATAGAATTCGAAGTGGTGTGGGTTTGCTTTCATGTTGGCTAAAAAAGATGACTCTCTAAAATAACTATCTTCAAAGTCCGAATGAATTCAGGACCCCGTATAAATCTCTGAGAGGACCGGCTGTCTGCTTTCTTAAAGTAGCCTCTTTGCAAACTCTAGACTGGGAGTACCTAAAACCTATAATAAATGGTGATATTACAGTCCAAATTATCAAAGGTATTTTACATTTCCCACTCGAAGGACGATCAGGGGCTTACTGGAAGTCTAACAAGTAGGGGAGAAAAAGCCAAACAAACTAGTAGTTAGCACAACTCAATCCTCATCTGAATTCCTTCCCTCCCCACCCACCCCTGGCCTCTGAAAAAGACTAGCTGGGCAGCCAACCACACCAAATTGTATAGTGTGGAAGGTAAGGGCCTCTTTGCATTTAGGAAACCCAACAAATATGCTTCCACTCATTGCCTGGGGTCTTAGCCATGGCGCAGCTGGAAGGCAGCATTCTGAAGATAACAGACTGATTTCTACAGATTTCATGCTGGTAAAATCAATTCTGTGAAAAAATTATTTTAGACCCTGCTGTGCTTCTGGTATAAAAATCTAAACTTACAACTTGAAGGGGGCCACAAGAATTGAGAGGAAGAAAATATTTGATGATGGGCTTTTTTCTTTTTTTAAAGAAGTTTAGTCTCATGTTGTTTCTTATTTATATTTTTAACAGACATTTTGGGATGATTAAGACCACTGACCTACATTATTGTTTCACAATGAAAACTGTTAGCCAAAACACACACTGAACTTATGAAGAGGGAAAAAAAAGCAAAGAAATAAAAATAAAGGAAAAAGAATAAAAAGAACAGCTCTCCCAAATGCCACTAAAACCTCTCTGAACCCGACTTTTCATAGTTCTTGATTCTTCAACATACATAATTTAAATATGCTGGATAAATAAAAATAGAAACTTGATTCCAAAATGATCATTTAGTATTTACAACTCTTTTGTGGAGGTGTTAGGGAAGGACAGAAATTGTTGAACTTATCCAAATGCTGAGTAATAATTTACCCAAATATTCAGAGTACAAAAGACATTGATTAAAAAAAAAAAAAAAAGACACTGCCACTGGATAGTACAAATCTGGAAAATCACTTTCTAGGTCTCAGTTTTCCCATGTGTAAATGGAGAAATAAACTAGTTCTTCATCCAAATAATACTGAAAATAATAAGCGCTCTAATTCCCTATCGAGGACTTCAGGAGAGAAAAGACAGTTCTAAGACATTGCACTCAATTGTGTTTAAAAAACAAGTTGCATATTCCATCATGATAAAATCGTCATAGGGAAGATTCTCAAGGCCTAGTCTACAGGTCATTTATTTAGAGTATTCAGGGTGCCTGACTGGCTCAGCTGGTGGAGCATGCGACTTTTTTTTTTTTTTTTTTTTTAAGTGTGGAGCCTGATGTGGGGCTTGAACTCACAACCCTGAGATCAAGACCTGAGCTGAGATCAAGAGTAGGCCGCTTAATCAACTGAGCCACCCAGGCGTCACAGAGCACGTGACTCTTGATCTCAGGGGCGTGCATTCGATTCCCATGTTAGGTGTAGAGATTACTTAAAAATAAAATCTTAAAAATAGTATTCAATGTAGAAGAATTCTACCAAATACTGCAACAACCAAAATACTGCAGTCACCTAGACTTTGTTGTCTTCCCATCCTGTTTATATCTCTGCAGACATCACAAGAGGATGACATATGAGGAGGGTAATTATGATAATGCTTCTACCAACACGGAGACTCTATAAACCTTCATAGGAACCCATGGAATTAAATTTTCTCAGTAGCCTCCCTCTCTACCACACCTTTTATTATGAAACCAATCTTCAAATATAATCTGAAGTAAACAGTAAAACTAACACCCAAGTAACGATCACCCAGTTTCAGTAAGTATCAACATGGGGCCAATCTTTGTTCATGTGCCCCTCCCCCACCAAACATTACTTTGAAGCAAATCCCAAACATAATTTTTGTTTAAATTTCAAACACTAAATTTTTAATAGCTTAGCAAATATAGCAATAGGTGGCAATGAGAAAACTAATTTAAACGTTATTTAGCTTCACTTTTTAAAAAGAACTACAAAAAAAAAAAGCTAAAATCTAAGTTCTAGTGAATTTATATAGCAGAGGTATAGACCTGTTTCCAGAATTTCCAACAACAGAGATTTTTGTATCATTTAGAGACAGGAACACTAACCCACAATAACCACCATAGTAAATAAACACTGTAAATGTAGCTTCTATTTTAAACCTAGAATCTCAAAGTTTTAATTTAGGGACTGGTTTTCACTATAGGTACCATCACCACAAAAAATAAGGAGCAATGAAAAGTAGAAATTTTGTGCACATGGTGTTTTTCTCAGGATGTGACGGTTTCTCTAACATACATAACTTACATATGATCAGACTGATGAGCAAAGAGCTCATCTTGTGGGTTGTGAACGAACTCCCCCTTCTCTGTCTGCTTCCAACCCACACCCTCATTCCCAGGCAGTCACTATTCTGCTAAAGCCCAGGGCCCTCCAGTCTCAAAGATAAGAGACTGACCAACAGACTCTGGGATTTAACAGCATGTATGACCCCTCCCTGAGTGCTGCTGGAGGCTTTCTCCATGTTGGAATCACATGTCCAATATGTAGCTTTGTGTTACCACCTCAGAAGTGAAAAGGAAGCTCTGTTAACATGCCGGAAGCTCTGTTAACACGCCTTTACAATCACCAAGTTAAATGCTTGGGCTGCAGGTATCTTTTACGGTTCTTGCTGTCGAAAGGAATACTAGGCAGAAGTAGGAGAGGTCATAGAGCTAGCTGGGGTAGGGTGGTTGCAGGGAGATGAGTGACAACACATGGAAGATAGGTGGCCCAAAACCGTTTAGAGCATGGCTGAGGAGATGGATAATTTTCCTGGCAAACTGTACTTTTTTCCTGTTTAGATTTCAAGGGATGCTGTGGTTACTTTACATATTGATCTTTCACAACTCCTTAGTTCTCGACAGTCCATCATCCTCAGGCAACTCTAGAGATTAATCCCTCATCCCACTGATGCACAGGAAGAGACCTGCAATGGGGCACCTGGATGGCTCAGTCAGTTAAGCGTCCAACTCTTGATTTCAGCTCAGGTCGTGATCTCAGGGTTGTGGGACTGAGCCCCGCGCATCAGGCTCCGCGCAGGGTATGGAGCCGCTTAAGATTCTCTCTCTTTCTCTCCCTCTCTCCCCCTCTTTTGGGAAAAGAGAGAGAGAGAGCTGCATTTGTATTGAAAATAATTTAGGGCCATTCTTTAAATACACATGAGCAATCTCATTCTCTTCCTACTCCGTAAGGCAAGCCCTAGGAAGAAACACACAACTCCAACGCCTGGCCATATATAACCTCTCTCAATGGTTTCCAAAAAAGGAAAGAAAAATTAATTAAATACAGAGTCGAACTGCCAGAAAGACAGTAATATTTGGGGAGGAAAGTCTACTTTGGTTTACAGCATTTTTGCCTAAGACAGGATGTAGATATTAATTATCAATTACCAATATTTCAGTATAGCACAGCCTTATCTCCACCAGCCAACCTGGCAGATCTCCCAAATACCTACCAATAAGTACCAGCACCTTGTGATGTTAGCTCCATGCCATCCACTGAATTGTAGCTATCATCATCCATGATCTTGGAAAGACCAAAATCTGTGATTTTTATCTCTCCACATGCTGTACCATTTACTAAAAGAATATTACCTAAAAAGATGAAAACCTTCATGAATAAAAAGAGACTTACTAATTAAGAGAAAAGTTCAAGGTAATAACAGACAAGAAGGGGACAACTGAACTCAAACTCTTGTACATAATAGCAAACATCTAAATTCCTGGAATAAAATGATCTGGACTCTGGATGCTGGAGGAGAGTCCTCAGTGTCTGGCTGCAAACTTGCATTTTCCAAGAATCACCTGCTAGATGTGCCAAAACCACCACTATGAGCAGTGGGAAAAAAATAGTAACTCGCCAAAGTAAAATATCACTTGGACAGTTGGTTAAAAATGGTGGGAAAGTTTCATCTGAACTTTCAGTAACGCTCTCCAAACCACCCTGTTTAGAACAGTCGTTTCAGGACAAAAAAAAACAACAAAAAACAAAAAACCCAGAAAACAAAAAACACAAAAATATACAAGGGAATCAAAGCTAGTACCACAGTGCCACCTACAGCTCCTACACCAGGAAAATGTACTGGATTCAGCGATGGAAAACCCAATCACACAATGGCCATTGTTTTAAAAATCACTTCGTTGTAATGAATTTTTTAGTCATTTGAACTGTATTAGAACATTAAAGAATAGTATAAATAGTGAGATTTAATATGCAGCTACCAGGAGAGGAAAGCAGAGTTAACAACGGCGCCCACCAGGCGGTAAGTGGGAACCATCTTCCGAACACCCCAGCCAAGCTGGTGCCAGCTATCTACAGAGAACATACACAGACTTCTGGAAAACCGGCCCACGATGACGACAACAAAAACAGAGGTAAGAAGTTTAACCGCCCTCTACTGTTCGCTAAGGTCTACTGAAGTTTACATAGTAACCGTACAAAAAGATGAAAAACTATTGGGATTTAATGAAACAGGAGGTGTACCTACAAAATAATTTGTTCATCTGGGGGCCCTTATCAAGGAGACCTGGAGGAGAGGAACGGCTACGCAGTGTGAGTAATGGGAAAAAAACAAAGCTGAGCTTGCCAGAGCAGTTCTTTCTAAATCGGCTGACATCATGAACTGCCCTGGCTCTAAAGACAAGGGCATTGTTTCTTCTGAGTATTTAATCCAACGCCCCTTCTCAAGCCCAGCACTGTGGGGCCAGGACTCTGTTCCCACACCTGCCCGGGCAGAGCCAGACGCTACCAGGCTTCCAGGCTCCCTCACATTCTCTAACTTTGTAAAATTACAAGTCACTTCAAAGATCAGAGAAAAGCCATCAATACAGTCACCTAAAAGTCAGACATACCTGGTTTGAGGTCATAGTGTATGATGGGAGGTTTTATTTCATTTAAGTACTTTAAAGCATTCACAATCTGCATGATAATGGATCGGGCCTCTTTCTCCGACATTAATTTGTGCTGTTTCAGGTAGAAGTCCAGATCATTTCCCTCACAGTATTCTAATACTGTACAAAACCTAAAGACAAATAAAACGACATTTGACTGTGGGAAAGAGCAAGCAGATTAAGACTTCTTAAACCAGCCCCAGTGAAAACTTCAGGTAATTAGCTTCTTGCTCTGTTCTTCTTCATTCCTTAAAGTAGTGTTCTATTCTTTATTCAGTAGTAGCTACCTGAGTGGTTGACGGGAAGGAAACTGCATTCTCCCCTGGTGAAGAGCCTTCACACCCTCCACACCAGAATCTGTTGTGCTACAGTGTACCCATGACATTCCAGACTATACGAATACGGACAAGAACTGTAATGTACCTAAGCTAGGGATCTTTTCAGAAGGGTCTCCCACACATGCTGTGCTCCAGTTCTAAACAAGCATATTGTGGTCAAGTACACAATTCTCAATGCAAACATTTCATATTACCCCGAGTACTGACAGTAAGAAAGAATCTAGGGTTTGCTCAGGTCCCAAGAATTGGTTTCATGTCATATCTCATGGCAATTTGGCACAATACTGTACTATAATCTCTCCTTGCTAAATACAAGGTGTAAAAGAAGTTCTAAAAGCACAGTATTGGGATGCCTGGGTGGCTCAGTCGGTTAAGCATCTGCCTTCGGCTCAGGTCATGACCCCAGGGTCCTAGGATCGAGCCCCGAGTTGGGCTCTCTGCTCAGTGGGGAGCCTGCTTCCCCCCTTCCCTCTGCTTGCTGCTCCCCCTATTGTGTACTCTCTCCCTGTCAAATAAATGAATAAAATATTTAAAAAAATAAATAAAAGCACAGTATCTGTGGTTCTAACAAATGTGTTATTACATAGTATGAGTTTTTTCCTCCACTTTTATCAATACATATACAGACCCAAATTTAAAATTACATACCATTTGTAGCATTAAGGGTCATGCATCTAGCTTCTAAGGCAGTTATAAACCAAAGTAAGGCTTCCTGAATTGTTTGAGTATTCCTGAGAGATGAAGACCTTTTAAACTATCCTAAGCTGTGACAATGTGGGTGTTATCACTCAGGGTCTAGTCAGGAAATAAAAACCACCTGAGTATTTAAAACAGAGAGGTTGTGGGGCGCCTGGGTGGCTCAGTCGTTAAGCGTCTGCCTTCGGCTCAGGTCATGATCCCAGGGTCCTGGGATTGAGCCCCACATCGGGCTCTCTGCTTGGCAGGAAGCCTGCTTCTCCCTCTCCCACTCCCCCTGCTTGTGTTCCCTCTCTCGCTGTGTCTCTCTGTCAAATAAATAAATAAAATCTTACAAAAAATAAAAATAAAAATAAATAAAACAGAGAGGTTTTAATTCAGGGCACTGATCACATGGATGATGGAAGAGCTGAGAGGGTAAACTGGCCAGTGAGGCACCCCAGAGATCATCTAGACAGGAAGCCATTAGCACCCTAGGGCCAGAGGGCCAAATGACGGAGATGGTGCAACCAGAATGGAGGGTCACTGAGAGAGACTGGAATCACAGTGGGGGCGGGTGTGTGTGTGTGTGTCTACCTCCCACTATCTCTGTCTCCGCAGTGGCTGACCCCAGCTGAACAACAACTGACACAGGAGCCTGGTCAAACAGATGACAAGGGTCAACTCACCTAAGATGCAGAGCAGGAGAAGGGTGAGGAGCAGACCTGAGAGCAAACAGGCTCAGGACTAGCACTATGGCCCCTGGGCAATTTGAGGCCTTCAAAAAGCACCGCAATGAAAGGTGCACATACATAGTTCTGTGGGATGCCTGAACTGAACAGCTTATGTTTCTTATGAAACATACAAGGGCATACTAGCACCCTATTCGAGGATAAATATCAAAAACTTATAGATTCTCTGATCTGAGACACAGACTCTCGTGCTTAGTCGATGTATTCTTTGGCCCAAGTGCAAGCTTAAAATAAAATCTTACTTTAACACCCAAACAACTCTCAGAAGATTTTCTAAAATGATGGTGAAAATTCACCATACACACAACAGGAGGAACAAAATAAATTCAAGAATAGCACACAACCAAGTCAATTCCTCAGATTAGTTAAAAGTGTATACACAATTCAAAACTGCAAATAACCCAAGTCATATTTATTTTTGAGATTTTTTTTTGTACTTACATTTTGAGGGGTGGTGGTGGCGGGGGGGGGGGCAGTCTACTTAGTATTCAAGGAATTTACTCAAAGCAAAAAGGTAAGACCACCCTGTGAAGACCTGTTCTGTACCTAGATATTCATCTGAACCCCATCCATGCTAACCACACACTGACTATGCCAGGTTTGAGGACCACCCTTCTGGAAAGGGTACATCCCTGAGCAGGTGGAAGAAGGGATTGTTCACATTTCCAAAGGGAGTTAAGGTCTCCCCCTTTTGGAAACATTTCTAAATGTGGGAAAGTTCTCGGCAGAGCAATCTCTGAGACAGCTGCTGTCTGGAATAGGCCAAAACGCCTAGAATCACCCTGCAAGGCGAAGAGAAACACCTGCTGGCCAGACCCTACAGTATGTTCTCCTCAGCTCAGACTCCTACAGAGAAAACGTTTCCAAATGCTGAAATATTTCTAAACCCCTGGATAAACCCAAAGGTGACAGAGCTCATCTATACCAGGTAATGAAATACAACAATGCCTAAGAGTACTAAAGATCTCAAGCAAGTCCTTTAACTTCCCTGGTCCACAAATTTCCATCTCTACGGTGGGAAGGCTGAACTGAGATCCCTCCCACCTCTAACCTCCTACATGCCTGTGAGGCTCGATTTCATGGGCAGCACTGGGTTACGCCTTCATTTGTGCTATGATAAAATCACATTGCTGGTCCTTCCTTGAAAGATCCATCACTGTTCATCAGAATCTCCAGCTGGGGCAGAGACTCTTGTATAGTCCACACTCACTGGTGAGTGTCAGAGATAGCTGGCAACAACTTGTGACAGTTACCAAGAGCCAACAGTTAAATCACTAAGCCACTGATAGGATGAATGGACAAACAAAAGGTGGTATAGTCATACAATGGAATATATTTGGTCCTAAAAAGGAATGAAGTACTGGTAACATGCTACAGTAAGGATGAACCTTGAAAACACATCTTGTTAAATGAAAGAAGCCAGTCATAAAAGTCCATATACTATGAGTCATTCATATGAAAGTCCAGAATAGGAAATCTATAGAAGCAAAAAAAAAAAAAAAAAATTAGTGGCTGCTTAGGGTGGGGTCAGGGCAGGGGGAGAATAGGGGAGTGATAGCAAAAAATATGGGGTTTCTTTCTGAGGTAGTGAAAACGTTCTAAAAATGACTGTGGCGATGATTGCACATATCTGTGAATATACTACAAGCCTTGAATTGTATACTTTAAATGGGTGAACTATATGGTATTTAAATTATATCTCAATAAAGCTGGATATATATTTTTTTAAGTTAGGAGCATGAAACCAGACGTGTTGAGAAATTCATTAATCACAGGAACTGTTGAATACTATGAATTAGCCCTATCCCCTCCCCACCAAGCTGGTTGTTAAACATTTACCAGCACACCATTACACATATCCTGTGGCTAAGAGATGTATTGCTGGCCCAAATGTGAATTCACACAGGATCATCTACCCAGAAATAAATGCACTTGGTTCCCTCAGAGGTTATTTCCTCGACCCAGATTGAAACTCCAATCCATGAGTAGTCAACACACTGCAAGAGACCAGTATCAACTGCTAAGCTAAAACAGCACAGCACTTACGAGTCAGTGTCCAGTGAAAAGTAATCATACAGCTTAACTATCCTGGGATGATCCAGTTCTTTGTGAATCCGGTATTCCCTACATGCATGCCTGTAAACAAAGTGGAAAATTAACATTTCGTATTTTGGACGGTCTTTCAGACCTCTTCAAGGATACACCTACATATTCTCTCATTGCTCCTTATTTCTGCCTATGCATTCCATTCAGGTCGGCTGGCCCCCCTATCTTTCCTCATCCTATTTTTACTACTGGTGTCTACCAAGCTGTTGAGAAAATAGCAGGTGCTCAAATATTTGTTGAATGACTAGATGCCAACCTTTTATCCCTTTCAAGTTCATTCTATCACAATCTCACCTCTTTGATATTTATACCCAAATAGCAAAGCTTTAAAAATTATAAAGACAGTTTTTTCTCTCCCTTCAAAAGCTGGTACTTCATATCTATAAATGTTTATATCCTGGGGCTACATCAAGGAGATCAATTTTGGCAATAAACTGCTTGGGTAAAAGGATTACAGATTATATAAGGCAATTAGCAGTGCTTTGTATTTGTTTGTTCTAGAATTCTCCTTACAAAAAGAATTTAAAGGGCTATCAGCTTTACTTTTTTCTAAGAAAATATGAAACTGATAAAAAAAATTATGGAACCTGGGGTCTAGGTGGCTCAGTTCGTTAAGGGTCCAACTCTTGATTTCAGCTCAGATCATGATCTCAGGGTAGTGAGATCAAGCCATGCACAGCGAGGAGTCGGCTTGGGATTCTCTCTCCCTCTGCCCCTCCCCCTCGGCATGTGCGTGCATGCATGTGTGTGCGTGTGCGTGCACACACTCTCTCTCAAATAAACAAATCTTTAAAAAAAAGAAAATTACTGGGCGCCTGGGTGGCTCATTGGTTAAGCGACTGCCTTCGGCTCAGGTCATGATCCTGGAGTCCCGGGATCGAGTCCCACATCGGGCTCCCTGCTCAGCAGGGAGTCTGCTTCTCCCTCTGACCCTCCCCCCTCTCATGTGCTCTCTCTCAAATAAATAAATAAAATCTTTAAAAAAAAAAGAAAAGAAAGAAAATTACTGAACCCTAGTTTTCTTGGAATGAGAGTTTACATATACATATTAACATCTTTTTTTTTTTTAGTGCTTTTCCAATTTAAAGTCATTTAATAAGATTAGGAACAAAACAAATTATATAATTTCACATATTCACTGAATTTTAAAAGAATTACAGAACAAATTTATTCAATATAATTACCAATAATTTTTGAAGTATTTAGTTCTTATTTACGAAGAGAGCAACAGAAAATTTTTCTATTTTAAGTAAGCTACCACCATTTAGTTTGGGGCATTTTCTTATAAGGCAAAGAGTCAGAAAAGAGAAACTTTCCAGAGTATGGTAAAATAAAACTAAGATGATGTTTTCTGAAACTGGTGTATTCCAGTATGTCAAAGATGCACAGAAAGTACTCAACTAAAGAAAAGCTGAGGAAACAAGCAGGACAAGGAGGAGAGAGGAATAAGAATCTAAAATTAATTAAACACGTTTTTCCCGGGTAGAAACTGTGTTTGAATAAGCTTATTTTTTCAAGCTGCCACTTTTTACAGTTTTTTTGCTTCTTCTAATACTTCATTTCATCATCTTTATGTCTTTCTGAAAAGAAAAGACCTGCCAGCACTTAGGCAGAGCAGTGTTAGGACACCCACTACACTGGGACCTGGAAACCTGGCCCCGAGTCCCAGCTCTGTGACATCGCTTTTCGGGGCTTCCCCATGGCTGCACAGGACCGGAGGTTTCAAAGGACGCTTCCTGGAGATCCAGGCCTCCGGAGCCCCCTGTGCAGATGCTGAGCAAATGTAACCGTGGCCCAACCCCACATCCCACCCAAGCAGCGTCACACCTGTCTTTTTCAAATATCAAGATTCCGTGTAATAGTTCATTCAGTAAAATTAAGGTGATGCTGTTCACAAAAACCAAGTTTAGAAAGCTAGGGACTAACTAGATAACCATTCAAGTCATTTCTTATGCTAGCACGCTAAAAATGTATAGTTCTCTGCCATTCTGTTTAAACTTTTTGATTTTGTCGCACGTTTCAGAACAGAGACCAATTTCTCTGTCAAGGTACAGAAAATAGAGGAAACTAAAGGAGGCAAACATTAAGAGCCAAAGGGAGGGTCATTCAAAGTCCTTGTCAACCAAGGGCATTTGCTGTGAACACTGAAAGCCCTCCCTTAACATCATGTCAGGCCCTAAGCCCGCTTCTCGTGCTTCATCAGGCAAGCCAGGAGCTCTGCCACATCCCTCCTATGTTCAACTTGTAATTTAGCATCCGAGGGATTAATGCACAACAAATACAGAAAACTGTAATCAGAAACTGGAAGAAATGTATCCACTAACGTGTTAGTTTTTTACTCTCCTGTAAATGGATGTATATTTAGGCTTCCAAAATGATTCTGTCCTAAAAAATTAGAAGAGTATCATACACAAGAGTACACTAACTAATTCAGATACAATTATTTCTGTGGATAGCTTTATATGAAATGCTTCCTACTGTGGAGTTTTTAATATATTGTTTGGGGGAGTTAAAGAAATCCTGTGATACTAATGCTTTAATAATGCAAAAGTAAAACAATTTGCTTTTTGTTTGTGGGGGAAGGAGAGGAAAGGAGGTGCAGAAGAGAACTCAAAATTAAACAAAACAACAACCTTTAATTTTGAGTTCTTCCTTCCTTTTTACCCAAATAAATGTCTTGATTCCAGATGGGACTGGGAAGTCACTCCCATAACAGGAAAAGCAAAGACACTACTATGCAGAAGAATAGTACCATTTTCATATTTTATAATGTTACCACAACACTGAAGTGAACCACTTTTTAGTTTAATACAGAATTTTTAAAGCACCCTCTAAAATCTGTTATGAGCTTGATATAAGCCTTCTTTAAGTTCAAAGGCATTAATGACATTTTGCTAATTCACTATATAGCCTGTATTCATCAGTATGATTTCATATCAAGCAAAATCTTTCAAAGCAAGGTGGAGTGCTTATGAATTTCTCCCCAGGCATGAATGGAAGTCACAAGAACTCTGCACACCCCCTCCCCCATGTGTTTTTTGGCTAGGAAATGGCCCCTGCAGAGACAGCTCCATAGAAGGTACTTGGTTGCCATGATTCCCACCTCCGGTGAGGAAACAGAGGTAGGACGGCACCACTGTGAGACTGCAGCTGGACCAGTCGAGAGCTTAGAAAAATGAGACAACCCCCTTCACTTGCGCTATGACTCCGCCTGGTAGAGAAATGTGAGACAGATCCCCAATCTCTACCCGCTAGCACTTGAAACAGCTTGCCAAATGTGTCGCGGAGGCATACAGTCCCGGCTTCAATCCCTCACTGTTGCAAAAGGCTAAGGCAAGCAGCACCCCTCCTACAGTTACCACAGTGTTCCTTCCAGAGTTCTCTTTAGGGCCAGCCTAAAAGCTGGACACTGAGACCAGGCAAAGTATGGGTCAATCCCAACACAGGAACCATTTTCTCAAGGTTGACCAAGGCTGGCCCCTTGTGAAGTCAAGTGGTTTAGAGTGGTCAATGCACACATAAGATAGAGAACAGCCTCCAAGGAGAGCTGAAGAGCATTTTTAAAGAGAAGCATGTATAGTTCTAACACCCTTATGTACTGAGAGTCTCAATGTAATGGGGACATTTCTCATTTATAACTGGTCAGAACAACATGTGGTTTCCTTCTCTGCAGTGCTCCTGGCGTTCACTGTGGTATGCCATTCGTCCCCACACGCCAAGTCACTGGAATGCACTTCTAATAAAGTAACTGCTCCTCAGAAGCATCTGGACTGCAGCTGCCTGTCACGTAGGATACACATGCAGGATGCCATGCATAAACCACACATCATCCCTTTGCCTACCTCTGCTAAGCCCTACTTCCCTTAATGCACAGGAACCCCCACTTCTCCAGGGCTGAGTGCCACTGCCAAACTGCACGGAAAGGAAGAGTTCCTGGACCCCCCCGTAAGTAACAGGGGTACAGTAAGAGTTGCCCTGGTCCATGCCCCAAGAACCAGTTGATGATGTAGAAATGAGATTTAGCAGCCAATTAAAAAATGGTTACTTCAAAGTCCACTGCTTTTTTCCCCTCCAAAGTACTATTATTTATAAGAAAAAAAAAACAAAACTGCTTTTATAGAAAGGAGGTGGGTTGTTTATATCAAAAAGGGCTGTCTTGGGAAGGTCTGCCTTCGGCTCAGGTCATGATCCCAGGGTCCTGGGACCGAGTCCCGCGTTCGGGCTCCCTGCTCAGTGGTGAGCTGCTTCTCCCTCTCCCAGCCGCTCCCCCTGCTTGTGCTCTCTCACTCACTCTCTGTCAAATAAACAAAATCTTAAAAAAAAAAAAAAAAGGGTGGGGGCTGTCTTCTCCCTTCAGGGTTAGGGCATTTCTAACTCAGGGCTTGGGCCTATAACAAGGAAACAATACTAAGCCCACGGAGGGATCCTAAAAGCAAATTATGCGTGGCTTCCAAACCAAATGAGCCACTAATTCCTACGTTCTGAAGCTCAGGGTGGGGGAAACAAGGAAAACCTGATATTAGTGGATCTAAGAAATTCACACCTGTACATGTAATAATCATTCCTTCTAAAGAAGTCACTCTCCCGGGGCGCCTGTGTGGCTCAGTCGTTAAGCATCTGCCTTCGGCTCAGGTCATGATCCCAGGGTCCTGGGATCGAGCCCCGCATCGGGCTCCCTGCTCCGCGGGAAGCCTGCTTCTCCCTCTCCCACTCCCCCTGCTTGTGTTCCCTTTCTCGCTGTGTCTCTCTCTCTGTCAAATAAATAAATAAAATCTTAAAAAAAAAAAAAAAAAGAAGTCACTCTCCCACCCCCCTCCCTAAATACGGCGGAGGACCGCCACTAGCGGCTTGCAGAAGACAGGCAAGCCCAGTAAGCAGGACACCGAACACAGAGAATTCTCAGAGGGGAAACCGTGAGGGCGAGGTGAGAGAAGCACTGAGGAGCTGAAGGAGTCAAACAAGCACCACTGACGCATCTCACGTACCCCCACCGTCTCCTTCAGGATGAAATGACTGAAACAGCAGAAAAAAAGTCCCTCCCCAAGCTCCCCGGGATCCCCAGGGCACTATCATCTGCTCTCTACAGACAAGCAAGATGGTTTCTGAGGCTTTGCCTGTTTATTGTAGCTAATGTTAGACACACAATGGAAAGGGAGGTTAAAGAGCATGGGTTTGGGATTGAGGGAAGTCTAGATTTAAATACCAGCTCAGCCATTTTTTAACTATGACTTGAATTCTGTTCAGTTTCAGTTTGCTCATCAGTAAGATGGAACAGTTACTCAGTCTGCTAGGACAGTGAGGAGGAGTAAAGGACATCCCCACAGCAAGACACGTACTGCTGGTAACACAGGCTCACACTACAGCCACCACGACTGAATTCTGACAAATCACACACTCTGGCGTCACTTACTTGTGGTAATTCTCCTTTTTCTCATCTCTCCAGTTTTTATTTAACTGGTGAATTTTCACAGCTACATATCTTTGTTCTGTTAGATCAAATGCCTACAAAGAAAAGGAGTAAGTTATATTCTTGATAAAAGCTAACAAGAATTACAGGCAAGTAACGGATCTGAAGCTTCTATTTAACACATGGATGTAGTCAAAACCCAAAATGCATTATTAAATACAAACAGCCATGGAGGACAACACATCACGTACTTGTTTCAGAGTTACAACCATCTTCTTAAAACTTGTGACCAGATAATTTAGAAGTCTCCAGATGCACTGGCACCAAGGGCTTAGAAAACAACCCAGCAGACACCACAAGCAGCAAGTCAGCCTGTGCCTTACCAGTCCCTTCCAAGCAGTTTCTCGGTGGACACCACCCGCCCTCTCTGGGGACCTGCTCCCCTGGGCTGTATCTCACCCCTCTGCTGACACTGAGACTTGGCATATGCTTCCCTAGCAAGTCCTGCCACTTTTGAAATGCTGGGGACACAGACTACCTGCTCCGTGAGAAATAGCCCCTCCAGATATTCCTTTTCACTATGTTTGTTAGAAAATAACCTCGTAATTTGTTATACTGTGTTTATTAAAACACAAACAGAAACAAAAAACAGTCCTATCCATATATGATGGTAAAAGGCAGTTTTTGATCCCAGCAATGTCTAAAGTTAGTCACACCAGGTCACTTCTCTAGCACTGTCCAAAGAAAGGAACAGACTTTTCCCAAAGACCACCACTACTGGCCAAGTCCTCCAACAGCTTAGGTAGTGCTGTGTCATAGAGGGAAGAAGGGAAACAGGTGGGTTTTTGAGGATGCTGGGTGTAAATCACAATTTGATAAAGTGAGTAGTATTTTAATATAATAGGAAATTTCTCTTATACAAAAGAATTTACTGAGGAATTCTTTTGGAATGAATAGTTTTTCTTAGTTTTTAAAGTTCAGATGAGAAACTTAATACTTGAGTTCCAACACTATTACCACCCATCTGCCAGTTTCCACAACTGTAAGAACAGATGAAGGTAACAGGCACAGGAAGAGTCCATGAATAGTGATGATTACTGTTCAACGGATTTTTTAAACTGTAAGCTACCTCAGGAAAGCACTAAATGCAAGAGAGGGCTGCTTATAAAAGAAACTTCCAATTTATACTAAATTTAAACCAGTAGTTTTTAAAATATAGAAACCACACAATTCAAACAGAATATCTTATTTCACAGAAATGGAAATTCTTACAGACTCTAAAGTCTACCTGCAAGTTTGTATACCATCTTGGCTTTACAGTAGAGAACCGTTCCAAGCCATTAAAAGCCAGATCAAATAGCACCTATATAAGTGCACTAATGATATACAAGTGTCTTTTTCTCCACCTACCATACTGTATTTCTGAATCCAAGACACTATGATCCACCACTGATTTTAAGAAGGGCCTCTGGGGAGTGGAGAAAAGCAAAAGAAGAACTACATGGAATGCACACAATGCTGGAGGAAGCACCTACATGTTAAAAGGTTTAAGGAACACACTAGGAAAAAAAAAACAGGATGAAGAAATCACGAACTAACAACTGGGAAGCACCAAGAACAAATTTTGATGTTTTTAAAGAAGGAGCTGTCTCACTTGTGGGTTTATAGCCAAAAGAATTAAAAGCAAGGTCTCCAAGAGATCTCTGCACACACATGTTCAAAGCAGCGCTATTCACAACAGACAAGAAGAGGAAGCAGCCCCAATGTCCACTGCCAGATAAATGGATAAAGCAAATGAAGCATGTGCATACAATGGAATGTTATTCAGCCTTAAAAGAAGGAAATCCTATCACAAGCTTCAACATGGATGAACTCTGAGAACATTATGCTAAGTGTACTGAGCCAGTCACTAAGAGACTATTGTGATTTCACTTATACAGGTATCTGACAGTGTCTAATTCACAGAAACGGAAAGCAGAACAGTGGTACGCAGGGGCTGTGGGAGGGCAACGGGAGAGCTGTTGATTAATGGGTAAAGTTTCAGTTTTCTAAGATGAGAAAGTTCTGGAGATCTGTTTCACAACAACATAAACATACCTAATGCTACTGAACTGTACATTTAAAAATGGTTAATGATGGTAAATTTTGGTTTTTTTTACCACAACTGAAAAAGTTTATCAAAAATAAAAAATAAACCAAGTGTATGATTCAAGAATGAAAATAAAAACCAAGAAAGTAAAAGGAAGGAAAGACTAAAAGCAAAAGTTAATGAAAAGAAAAACCCAAATTAAACAGTAGACTTGATCAATAAGATAAAAAGTTGATTCTTAGAGGGGAAAAAAAAAAACACTGACTAACCTCCTGACCTATCAGTCGAGATACAAAAATAAACATTTCATTAAAAAAAAGAGAAATAACTAAGGTATGGATATTTTTAAATCAAGGTGAAACAGAAGATTTTCCAGAAAAATTAAATTATCAAAAGAGAGGGAGAAGAAGAGAGAGAAAATGTGAATAAATCAATAGTTGTAGAAGGAACTTAAAAAGGTGATCAAAAAGTTTTCCTGTATAATGATATCCCCCCACAGGATTCTGAGTCTGCTCTAACTTTCAAGGAGCCAACAATTCCTATACAATGCATTCCAGGGCATGGGGGAAAAATATATACATAGGCACAACTTATTCTGGATAAGCTAGGACACAGAAGCTAGACAATGCTGCCTATACACAAAAGATAACTATGGGCCAGTCCCACTTACAAACATAGGTAACAAAATACAATAAACTAGAAAATCAAGCCAAACAGTACATTAAAAAGAATGAAGGGGGCGGAAATCGGAGGGGGAGACGAACCATGAGAGATGATGGACTCTGAAAAACAAACTGAGGGTTCTAGAGGGGAGGGGGGTGGGAGGATGGGTTAGCCTGGTGGTGGGTATTGAGGAGGGCACATTCTGCATGGAGCACTGGGTGTTAGGCACAAACAATGAATCATGGAACACTACATCAAAAACTAATGATGTAATGTATGGTGATTAACATATAACGATAAAAATTAAAAGTAAATAAATAAAAATAATATTCTAGTTCTGGAAGTGGATTGTGATGGTAGCTGCACATTATGAATATACTTAATGCAACTGAACTGTACACTTAAAATGGTTAAAATGGCAAATTTTATGTATATATCACCACAGTAAAAAATTAACATTAAAAAAAGGGAAACTGCTGAATCATCATGTTGTACACCTGAAACTAATATAACATCGTGTGCCAACTACACTTCGATTAAAAAATACACACACATACACACACACAGGCACTAATGGTTTTGGAAAATATAGTTATTTTTTATAACAATAAAAGGTGGAGGATGGGGCGTCTAGGTTGCTCAGTCAGTTAAGTGTCTGCCTTTGGTTCAGGTCATGATCTCAGGGCCCTGGGATCAAGCCGACTATCAGAATCCCTGCTCAGCGGGGAGTCTGCTTCTACCTCTGCCTCTGCCCCTGCTTGTGCTCTCTCTCTCAAATAAATAAAATCTTAAAAAAAAAAAAAAAAAAAAAGGGACACCTGGGTGGCTCAGTCGGTTAAGCCTCTGCCTTCAGCTCAGGTCATGATCCCAGGGTCCTGGGATCGAGTCCCACATCGGGTTCCTTGCTCAGCAAGGAGCCTGCTTTTCCCTCTGCCTGCCTCTGTCTCTCTCTCTGATAAATAAATAAAATCTTAAAAAAATATACTTAAAAAAAAAAAAAAGATGGGGAGTAGAACTAGTTTTTACCTGAAACGAAAACTAATTATTTTGTCCAAAAGATTTCCCATATATAAATTCATAGGGCATAACGTAAATCCCAACAGTGAAGGCCGCACCTCGGGAAGAGGGACTTCACAGGGCCATGTAGTAAAGACCATTTAATAAACGGATTCTGCATGTAAAAGCCTGGTGCTAGAAACACCTAGAAACTGAAGGAGGTGTGGACCGGTGAACATGTTATTGGATCTGCAGTTATCCTGAAAACCAGCTGAATTTCTCATTTAGTACAACTGACCAACTGGAGGCACAGTGGTCTGAACTTCACTGGCCCGGCCGAAGCCAGGATGCTTCTTCGGAACGCCAGAGTTACTAAACACTCAGACTCAGAAGACGAGAACATTTTAAAAACAAAAAGCAAGTTTTCAAGTAAGAATTAACTTTAACACATCTATTTTGCTAAAAAATTTTATAAAAATAAAAGTAACACATACTTTTTTCTAACAAATGTGAGGCAGAAAGTATAGAACCAGAATAAAAATCACCGCAATTTCACTACCCAGAAAGAAGTGTTTTTCCTTCCTGTTTTTTTTTATTTTTCAAACTTGAAAATACGGCAAACTACTGTATCCTGCCTTAGTCACTTAGGTTTACTGGAAGCAGTTCTTCTAAAGATACAGGTTCTTAGAGTTTCTGAATTTCAACAAATAGACATCAACCCGCAATCATCACTATTCTTAATGTTCTCCAAGTTGTTAATAACCAAGAATTCAATGCTTAGTCTTTGTACCCAGTTTCTTACACTTACCTTGTAAACTTCACTGAAACCTCCTCTACCCAAAAGATGTAACAACAGATATCTGTCATTTAGCGTTGGATGATCTTTAAATCTGTGGAAACAGCAAATACAGAACATCCTGAGTTTAAGGACTACACGATCTTCCATGCTGGCAAAATTCCCAGGACACCTCACATGCTATACACATGATTATAGCTGCTGCTGCTAGTTTGGTAGCAACACCAACACGGCTAGTTGTGAACATGAAGTAAGCTCTACGGTTCAAGGAGACCGCCTAATGACAGTGAACAGCACTGGCCGTGGAGAACCGTAAGCCATAGGTGCCAGCCTCAGCGTAGCCACAACTGGACCTGTAACCTTTGTTGACCTTCCTCCCCTTCTGAAAGGTAGCTGTGCAACTCCCAATACTATCCACCTGCTCTAAGGTGAGGGGGGTACAGACTCCACCAGATAAGGGATTTTCAAACTGTGCTACCCATTTCCTCCAAAGTATTCCCACCATTCCCAAACTAATATAATAAAGTTCCAAGATATTTCCCAGGGCCTTAAAAATGGATCTATTAAGGAAGTCACATGTTCTATGTGCATTCATGTTCTCTCTTTAAGACAGTTTCATGATATAACTGTTTTCCCCACAGAGGACTCCACCGTGTTGTTTTCTAACAATAAGACAAAGATAGGAGAGATGCTGACAAAAGTAACTTCATAAATATTTCTACCTAATTCCGGATCTTAAATAGCCCCACTATTAATCCTGAAATTATTTTCATTTGGAGACACCGACATGCCTGCAGAGAGAGGCGACATGACCGTGGGGCGGTCAGCTCTGGAGCTGTTCAGTCGCACAGGTATGGGTCCCTGGTCAGGCTGACTTGAGTTTCACTGGGCTCCTGCGAAGATGAGCTGACAGCATCAGGGCACGAGGCACGAGGCACTGTGCCGGACACACACGGAGAGCTCAGTCATGGGAACTGTGGTGCCTGACACTTCACAGAAAGGAAAGCCCATGCTCACACTGGCCAAACAAAAATACACAAGCTACAGCTATGCCCCCAAAACTGATGGTCCAGAGTCAGAAAAACAAGAGAAGGGAAGGAACAGATTCTGGACTGAAGCTACTTCCCACTTTAATCTACTTTTCAGTTGCAATCCTTTAAATGACTTATAAACAAAGGTGGGCATTCATCTACAATTAATGCACTGAACTTAAGAGAGTCTTGTTTAAAATCTCAACACCCAAATGGCCCTTAAAGGTCATTGCAAAACCAGTGCCATCTCAACCCGGTATCATTCCACGACACCACACTGTCACCCATGCTTCCATTTAGCAAGGCTCTGCAGGAATCTGACTATACAGTGTATCCCAACTACGTACAACTGCAAAGCTATATTGTTTTAGTGACCCCTACTATGTCAAAGTGCTGTAATACATGTATAGATATTAACATATAAATCTAATATATTTACATATACTTAAACTAAAGCACATCATAGTTGTTTTCACAAACCTGTATTATAACCTTGCAACAGAGCTAAATACACTGTGGAATCATTTACCCAATTTATAATACGCAGAAACATCATTCTTGACCATTCATGTCAGAAAGTGTTCGGCAATCTCCAACCCAACATACCCCCAAGTTGCTTACTGTGAATTATCTTCATTATGTATCCTTTTTAGTTCCCTGATATGTAGATTTCTAACCCTTTCTAGCCTTTCCAGCTCTGCCTGGATCTCTGCTTCTTCCTAAAGTGAAAAGGAAAGAAATAGCTCAGAACACAGGACACCACCTTTTCAGAATCTCATTTCAAAAACAGCAGACATTTCTCTTTTGAAAAACTAAGGGAAAATGTTTCTTTCGAATTGAAAAAGTTTTTAAGATAATCATAAAAAACAAGCCCACAGCAAATAATAAAAAAATTCAAACCATACAAAGGAGAACACAAGTAAGAAAAAAGCCCTCTGCTCCCAAGTCCTCCTCTCTATTATGCCCATTCCCCATAAGTAACTGCTTTTAAGTGTCTTGTGTAAATTTCCAGAAATGTTCTCTGTTTTTTACATATAGGCACACACATTTTTCTTTAAACAAAAATCAGATTCTCTATCTGGTTCTCCTCTGTAAGTATGGATCATGCTTGGTGCCTTAAGTTCCACTGATTTAACAAGATCTGAGAACCCAGTGGGGAAAAACAAACACACACCAAGAGCAGTTTATTAAATGCTTATTGACCATCATCACCGTAAGTGGCATCTACCAAAAATGTATGGGCTGTTAAATTTAGGAGATGAGCATCTACATCCAAGATGCCTCTGTGAACACTGTCAACAATTTTTATGTGGGTGCCTTCGTGTTACAATATGGCTTGTACAAGACCTTCTCTTCTTAGCCAGTTTAGGCAAGAGATAAGAGCTACTATGTGATTTAAAATATCCTAAGGGTTTTTGGGTGCCTGGGTGCCTCAGTTGGTTAAGTGTCTGCCTTCGGCTCAGGTCATGATCCCAGGGTCCTGGGATTGAGTCCCGTGTCAGGCTCCCTGCTCAGCGGGGAGTCTGCTTCTCCTTCTCCCGCTCCCCCTGCTTGCGCTCTCTCTCCCTCTCTCTCTCTCGCGCGCGCGTGTGCATGCGCACATGCACTCTCTCAAATAAATAAAACCTTTTAAAAAAATAAGTAAATAAAATAAAATATCCTAAGAGTTTTCATATCAAATCTGAACCACCTACTCATATTGTATTTAATTTTTACTATAAGGATAACTACTTATGAAGTTTTATGACATATACAGAATTATCTATTGGTATATCATTGGTTGAAAAAGTGCTCCCACTGGGTGGCTGGAGTTGACTCAAAAATTGAAAGACATTTCATCATTAGAAACACAAAAGGGGCGGGGTGCCTGGGTGGCTTAGCCAGTTGAGCCTCTGCCTCTTGAGTTCGGCTCAGGTCATGATCTCAGGATCCTGAGATTGAGCCCTGAGTCGGGCTCTATGCTCAGCAGGGAGTCTCCCTGAGATTCTCTTTCAGCTCCTCCCCCCTGCTTGTGCATGCACTCTCTCTGAAACAAACAAATAAAATCTCAAAAAAAATTAAATACAAGATGTGATAGTGAGCACAACTACTCAAGATTTCTGCAGGTATGTCAAACCATGACATCTGCTCCAATACCACATGTAAACTAATTTCTCCAGACATATTTTTCTCATTACACTTACCTTTTTAAGATGACCTAATCTAAGTTTGAAAATTTCTTCTTGTTCATGGTATTCTGCTAATGTTAACCTGGAAGATAATGGTAGAAATCCCAGTAAATTATTTGAAATCGTAGTGTGTCTATTAAAAGACAAATGCCAAAGCATGTTGTACAGTATATTCAGTCTCTCTGTTAAATAACTAAGACAGATTATCTTGCAATCCTTTGACAAGAGAAAACTTCTTTGATTTATCAGATATGACATGAAGAAAGGACTGCAAAGCCAGAAGACTAATTTGTAAAAAATGAGAAAATAAATGAGCTATATTTTTATGTTATTTATGAAATGACTTTTGTCCATACAATCTCAGATGAAAATCCACTGGGAGAGGTAGCCAAAAGTTACATGCCTAGGTTTGTTTTCTTTTTTGAAGGGAAAATAGTAAGCCAATGGATTTGATTATTTCTGATAACTCTTATTAGACTCTGCTACTATAATAACAAGGAGAAGAATGACATAGTGGAAGAGTCCAGGATTTGGAGTCTGAGGTCTAGGGTTCAAAGTGCAACTCAGGCCACTGGCCATGGGACCTTGGACAATTAACTTTAACTTAAGTCTTAGTTTCTTAAAAATGCAGCAAGCAATGATCCCCATCTAACAAAGCTGCTGTGCCTATTAAATGAGAATGTGAAATAATCCATAAATTGTAAAAAGGTATTTAAACACAATTCTCAAAGAGCTGACTTGATGGCTGATCACTTATTCTGTGTTCCACCTACCCCAATCGAACCCTTACATCGTAAGAATGAGCCTTTAAGGGTGCCTAGATGGCTCAGTTGGTTAAGCAACTGCCTTCGGCTCGGGTCATGATTCTGGAGTCCCAGGATCAAGTCCCACACTGGGCTCCCAGGTCACTGGGGAGTCTGCTTCTCCCTCTGACCTTCTCCCCTCTCATGCTCTCTCCCATTCTCTCTCTCAGATAAATAAATAAAATCTTAAAAAAAAAAAAAAAGAGGGCGCCTGGGTGGCTCAGTTGGTTAAGCGACTGCCTTCGGCTCAGGTCATGATCCTGGAGTCCCTGGATCGAGTCCCGCATCGGGCTCCCTGCTCGGCAGGGAGCCTGCTTCTCCCTCTGACCCTCCCCCCTCTCATGTGCTCTCTCTCATTCTCTCTCTCTCAAATAAATAAATAAAATCTTTAAAAAAAAAAAAAAGAATGAGCCTTTAAGAAGTGACAGCTTGGGGTGCCTGGGTGGCTCAGTTGGTTGAGCGACTGCCTTTGGCTCGGGTCATGATCCTGGAGTCCTGGGATCGAGTCCTGCATCGGGCTCCCTGTTCGGCAGGGAGTCTGCTTCTCCCTCTGACCCTCTTCCCTCTCATGCTCTCTGTCTCTCATTCTCTCCCTCAAATAAATAAATAAATAAAATCTTTAAAAAAAAAAAAAAGTGACAGCTTACTCCTCCAACTTCACTCTCTTCATACTCTAGAAGTACACACATATACTTCTAAGTTTCAGATGTCATTATTTAGATATATTCTAAATAGCAGGAGAAACGGCTATCCTATCAACCAGGTAGGGCTACAAAACAGTCTCTGAGGTCTGACTAAAATAAAATAAAAACAGTAACAAAAAGAAATGTATCCACTAGGGCTGTTACACCTGTCTCTTCACAGTGGCAGACATACTTACATCCATTAATCCATATCACACCAGTAAAAAAGGGAGAAATGAAAAATCATAGCTAGGGACTCTCCCTGCCTAAAATAGGTTCAATACCAGGAATGATAATGTGACTCACTCTAAGGCTCCAGAGGAATGTTTTTGGCTTCTGGCCAAAGGAAATGAGCCAAGTTACAGATACTCTAATTAAAAACTGGACTGAAAGCCTTCCAGCTTGGATTTGACACAGGACTCCAGATGGCAACTGCTTCCTGACACACTACTGGCCTGGACTGAATTCTAATTACTGTTCCATGGCTAGGAAACAGCCTATGCCTTCTACTACTCCTAAGCCAATGGTCTTAAGCACTAGCATTTGATAATTTTCAAGTAATACTGGAGGAAGAGTCGCTTCACAAAATAAATATGGGAGTGATAGCAAAAGAGAAGACAATGATCAGATTAATGTGTACAGCATGTGCCCAGAAACTCTCAAATCTGGGCTCCTACTTGGATTTTCTGAAAGGAAATATTTCAAATATAGAATCTAGTTTTAAAATATTTATTTATAAGAATGAAGATGTTTCCCAAGCTTATTCACTGTGTGTATTTTTATCACTACACTCAATGTAATTATTAGTTTATTCATCTGTTCATTTCCCCTAAATAAACTGTGAGCTCCTAAGGCTGGGGCTGTATCCTTTAGCTCTGTATCCCCAGTCTCCAGAACAGGGCCAAGTGTATAACAAGCATTTAACACAGATTTATTAAGTGAATGTCAAGGAAAAGGCTCCCCAACACATCAGGTATGTATGGAGTGAGTACTGGCATTAAGTTAAGCCATCCTTCTCACTGGAATGGGATGTCATGGGCTTTTAATGATATAGTACAAATACCATTATACTTGAGGTGGATTATGGGTTAATATGTTTTTGAGACCTGATATGAAAACATAAAGGCAAAAGACGTATTTTAAGTAATATATAGTAATATATAGGTAATTCCCACAAGATGGTACCACACATAAGCAACTATGTCATTTGACTACCATGATGACATTACATTTGTTACAAGAGTGGCCAAAGACCATGATGTCAAGTTAAGTGACATTATTTCTCCCACTCATTCGAAAATACCTAAATAACATCAGGACTAAGAAAATGAATTAATTTTACATGGTTTTTATATATAAGTTGTGAGTAAATCCATTAATGTAACTAAAAAGAAAGCTAATGCTCTAGAAATCCCCATAATTTATCATTTTGTCCAGTGGCACTTAACAGGATATCAGTATTTTGGGGGAGAGTGTGGTACCTCACAGTTCACGTGAATAAAGAACATACGTTTCATTTTCAGCTCCGTTGGTCTTGCTTTTCCTCTGTTTCTGCTCATTGGTTGCTGGAGGGGCTTGTCCCATGGCAGGAGGTTTCCGCTTCGCTAACATTTTCCGTTGTCTTTCTATCTCTTCCCTCTGTGAATTTATCCTTTCCTGCTGCCTGGAGATATAAAAGATGTTGCATAGAAGGTCAAAAAAATTGTAAGACAGCTGCAGAATACACACAAATATCTTGGTACCCACAGATTTTGATAAACTTCAAAAAAATAAGCCCCTTTAAATCAAGTAAAGATTTGATTTTAACTTCAGGTTGGAAGAGTCAAATAACCGACGACAGAAAGATTTTTTTTGGAATGAGTCTGTGCTTTAAGACAGTAGTTATGATTATTCTCAGAACAGGAAAGTAGGCAGGAACAATATCCAATTTTCACTGTGACCTTATTTTCTGACTCAAGGAAGAATTTGTTCCTCTCTCTCTCTTACTTTCTTTTAAAGATTTATTTGTCAGAGAGAGAGAGAGAGCAAGAGAGCACCAGCAGGGGGAGCTGCAGAGGGAGAAGGAGAAGTAGGCTCCCCAGTGAGTAAGAAGACTGATGCGGAACTCGATCCCAGGACCCTTAACCAACTGAGCCACCCAGGCACCCCTAAACTAAGGTTCTCAAAAACAAGTACGTTCAGAAAAAGCACAATGAGGCCTTGCAACTCGTAAAAACTCCTTAGGGAATGGGACATAAAATGAATTCACAAAAAACATATATAAAGATTCTTCAGATATCTAACACCATCACCATTAGAGGATTTCCTAATAAGAAGTCTGAACCTTCTACAATAAACCCATTTGCAAATTAGGAGTCAGTAAAAATATCAATCTAAGAAAACCACTTTCTCTCATGTATGCCTAACAGATATTAAGGTTTGGAGAGCTGGCATATTAAAAATATACCAAGATTTAGGATTAACCATTTAAAAGACTAAAATCTTTAAATCACCTACCCTAGTTGAGAATCAAATGCTAGCTCCCTTCTCCTTCTCTCTCTACCATGCTTCTCCCACCTCCTTTATTGATCCCATCTTCATTTCTGCAGAATAATGGAATCTAAGTTTGTTTTTTTTTTTAAGATTTTATTTATTTGAGAGAGAGAGAGATAGCAAGAGCAGGAACACAAGCAGGGGGAGTGGGAGAGGGAGAAGCAGGCTACCTGCCAAGCAGGGAGCCCGATGCGGGGCCCGATCCCAGGACCCCGGGATCATGACCCGAGCCGAAGGCAGACACCCAACGATTGAGCCACCCAGGCGCCCCGGAATAATGGAATCTAAGTTGTTAACCTGTTTTCAAATGAGATCTATTCAACCCTCTTCCCTGAACGAACACTGCAGTAGTCAGTCTCTTGACCTTCCCTACACTCAGTGTATTTTTCTTGGAAGAATGGCAACCAAAAAAATTCCAAGGTAGATGCCCACAGTTTATGCTCCCATATCTGTAAGGACAATACTGTGAGCAAGATTAACCTAATCAAAGCATTGTAAATAAAAAACCATTCATCTGATAATACAATCACACTGGGATCAGGATGAGCTGGTCACTAATGTCAATTTAACAGCAGAATGGAATCATAACTCAAAAGAGTTTTTGTCTGAAAAAAACCTCTTAACTATCATTAAAGATATGCCTCCCCACCAAAATACATGTATATGGCTTGAAAGAATTCTGGATTGAGACTAGAATCCTTAGGTAAAATCACAATCCTCTCTCTGACTCAGTGAATGCTTCAAGGAAAACAATGTCTCAGAACTGTCTCTCAAGAGGAGTTTCCCAATAAAAAAACTGGTAAAATATCTTTGGCTCCTTTTCTATCCTTTCATGGACCATGTGAGTGCAAAGCACAGTGAGCTCTCTGGAGATAACCATACAACATATAGTTTAAGCTATATGTTGGTACCCACAGAGGCTAGCGGGCTAGCGGAGTGCTATAGTGTTTTGTTTTTGAAGATCAGTTGCTTTGGAAAATTGAGATTTTTAGCAATCACCTTTATTAAGCATAAAATAAAACTAATTTACTATTGTTTCTAGTAAGAATCCAAAAATTTGATCTGCAGAGACCCACCAAGAAAGGGGCCCCACAACCATCATATATATAAAGCATAAAGACGGAAAAATGATGCTAAAAACGTGGGGAAATCTTAAACTGCATATTCTGAGAATGAGAACACTTGCTTGAACATAAAAAAGGATGCACCAGAGATCACGATTATATATAAAAACGATTCCTACATTAATTCTTGATATTCTTGAAATGATTTAGCTATTTATACTTGCAAATAAAAATCATCTAAAGATAGTTCCATCAGTGATACTTCATTTAGGTTTATTTTGGGAGTAAAGTCGGGAATTACATCAGTAAACGGTAACTTCTCTTAGAAAAGAACCATGTCTTATCAAGCCTTGTACCTCCAACATATATGCAGTGCCTTTTAGAGTTGATCCTTAAATCCTTGCACTGCATCAATTTTAGAGAATGATTGCCATTTATCACCCATAGAAAGAGAGTACTTCCACTATCTTTTACAGAGGTATTGATGATCTGATAAATCCGTCTCACTCCAATCTAAATAACCCTATTTAAAAAGCCATTACCTCTAAAAGAAAACAAAAGACAATCAGCCTTAGGCCCCATTACAGGCTGAAGTAGGTCACCTAAAAAGATATGTTGAAGTTCCGGGGCGCCTGGGTGGCTCAGTCGGTTAAGTGGCTGCCTTCGGCTCCGGTCATGATCCCAGGGTCCTGGGATCGAGCCCCATGTCGGGCTCCCTCCTCAGCGGGGAGTCTGCTTCTCCCTCTCCCTCTGCCTGCCTCTCTGCCTACTTGTACTATCTCTATGTCAAATAAATAAATAAAATCTTTAAAAAAAAAAAAATATGTTGAAGTTCCAACCCCCAGGACTTCAGATTATAACCTTTGGAGATAGGGTCATTGAAGATGTCATTAGTTACAATGAGGTCATACTGGAGTAGGGTAGGCCCTTAATTCAATATGACTGGTGCCCTTACAAAGGGAGAGAAGACACAGAGACACACGGGGGAACACCGTGTGAAGATGGGAGGCAGAGATTGAAGCTATGCTGCCTCAAGCCACAGAATGCCAAAGAATGATCCTCCCTAGAGGCTTCAGAGGAAGTATGGTCTGTTAACACCTTGGGTTGGGATTTCTGGCCTGGACTGTGAGAGAATAAACTTACGTTGTTTCAAACCACCTAATTTATGGCATTTTGTTACAGTAGCCCTAGGAAATGAATACAGGCACCTTCAACGGTAAAACTGTATTCCAGACTCCAACCATACTATACATAACCAGTGACAGAGGTATTAAAAAACAAATGCACATATTTTTAGACATCATTTTAACCAAATTATGTATCATGGAGTTTCTTATATACAGAGAATAATCATTTATGAGGATATCAAATATAGCCTTTACAAATGAAGAATCTCAATTTCTGCATTAAAACTGAAAGGGAATTAATTTATTAAAGTGAAACTAGAAAATAAAATACCTGTAGTTAGTAGACAACAGCCAGAAACAGTTGCCCAAGAAAAGAGATGGATATTCTGTCATTTATATGACCTAAAACCATGAAAAAATGCTATCCACCTAGGAGGAACAATCCCAAGTTAAGGATCTAATTTAGACAGTCCTAACTGCTCTGATGGCTCTACACAAAGTCACCATTTTGTACTCTGAAAGATTTCCAGAACCTTCTGGGCCTCAGGGCGGCTGTTTACAGAGTAAAAAGATAAAATACTGCTATCAGCTAAAACTGTGAGCACTTCTCAAAAAGAAAATTAATTACATTTTGTATCTCTATACAAACACACTATTATTTTCAGTCAAAGTCTTTAGACATTTTAGAGACAGCCATCTAAAGAGTAACCACTGTCAGGAGTCACCATCACATCTAGGACTCAGTCTGAGCACTAGGTGGCTTTGGCCAGTATTGGGGATATAGCTTCCGGTCCCATTCTAATGAAACTGGTGTTCCACTTTCGGGGCAATTTGCAGGCCCTGGTCAGGGTGTCATGCCTTGGCGTACAGCCATTTCCACTGCCTGGTGCATTTCTGCTCTCCCCAGCCACCTATGCTTAGCACTTGGAGTGGATGTTGTTCTGAGCCTCTGGCACCTGCCCTAACTCAAAAGACTTTGTTTTTTTTTTTTTTTTAAAGATTTTATTTATTTATTTGAGAGCGAGAGAATGAGAGGGGGGAGGGGCAGAGGGAGAAGCAGACCCTGCTGAGCAGGGAGCCCGATGCGGGACTCGATCCAGGGACTCCAGGATCATGACCTGAGCCGAAGGCAATCGCTTAACCAACTGAGCCACCCAGGCGCCCTCAAAAGACTTTGTTTTTCTTCCTGGGTAATGTATCTTTGACTCAATAGCTAACCTCTTATCACACCAAATTACACATACTCAAAGTACATGTGTGAGGCAAAGACATACCTAAGCCAAATGGAGGGTAATGTATCACATATAAAAGTGACTGCTAATGTGCAATCCAGAGTTAGTATTATTAATAAGATCAGTATCTGTACTTTATTTCAGTTATCAATTTGCTGTTTCTTTATGTTTCATTACTATTAAAGGAGTCCCACACTCTCCAATTACTGCTCAGTAAGTTACTTCAGGAAGGAAAAAAGGAAAAGCAGTCTATGGAACCCTCCAACTCACGGTGACCTATAGATCAAATGTCTGAGAGCCCACAGTTAAAAACACAATGCCCTTCCCCCCAGGCTCAGATGAAAATAATCTAACAAATAAAGACAAAGAATTAAGATATACCAAAAGATACTATAACCTAAAGATACATATATTTTTTAAGTCCAGAGCTAATCTTAGCTATTTACATAGTTGGAATTTTAGGATTATAAATGTTAATTTCCTCCTTGAAGTAAATACTTGAATGTTTCAAACCAAAGTTATGATAAAGTGAAAGAGTGCTTAAGATTCCAAGTTGCTGACAGATACACACTGTGGCTGGCCCCCAGCCTGAGCCCCCTGCCTTTAAGGGAGCCACTCTCTAATGACTGGACACCGTCTCCTTAAAGGGCCTCAGGGGCATATCCTGTAAGGTTCTTCTAGGGTTTTATTTTGTTTTATACCTAACTCAGGACGTTCTTCCTTAGGTCCTTGCCCATTTCATTTTTCTATGGACCCAGAATCAACATGCTTACTGACTCCTTGTGAAAAATCATTACATAATTAAAAAGATAAGTCAAGTCCTCGATTTCTCTTCCTTAACTTCAGCAATTGATTCTTTTTTTTTTTTAAGATTTAATTTATTGATTTATTTGAGAGAGATGGAGGGAGGGAGGGAAGGACAGAGGGAGGGAGGGAAGCAGACTCCCTGCTGAGCAGGGAGCCTGATGCGGGGCTCGATCCCAGGACTCCAGGGTCATGACTTGAGCCGAAGACAGACCTTTCACCGACTGAGCCACCCAGGTGCCCCAAATTCTGATTCTTTTAAACTTTAATGTAGAACATTTACTATTTCTCTGATTACTTTTGTCATTTTTTCTAGGACTTCACCTCATTCCCTACGTTTCTTTACACATGTAGGGACTAAAGCTGAATGAAAAGAGGACTACCATGGCTAGAATTTTTAATTACTACAATTACAGAAAACTTAAAGCAACTTTTTTTTTTTTTAAAGATTTTATTTATTTATTTGACAGAGAGAGACATAGCGAGAGAGGGAACACAAGCAGGGGGAGTGGGAGAGGGAGAAGCAGGCTCCCCGCGGAGCAAGGAGCCTGATGTGGGACTTGATCCCAGGACCGTGGGATCATGACCTGAGCTAAAGGCAGTCGCTTAACCGACTAAGCCACCCAGGCGCCCCTTAAAGCAACTTTTCAACTGCAATTTAATCACTGCAGTTCACTTACTTGATAAGGTTCTGGAAAGCATAACCATCTGTCCATTGTTCAGTAAAAGAAGCCCCATGTCGAACGGTGGTAAAGTGGCCCAATCTCAAGCGGTCTTGCATGCTCTTATCTCTACACGCCATCTTCTCTTGTTTTGACTTAGGGGAAAGGACAAATAGAAAAGAACTTTATTCTCTGATGAGAACTCAGATATAGCATGGTGTTTACTTTCCGCACTATACTGATCAAAGTTTAGTAACTGGCTGACTCTACATGGTCTTCAGGAAGTACCCTAAAACTTTAAATAAATTCTCTGTATTAATGGAAAAAAGTGGTTTCCTTTCTATAAAATTAATGAATTAAAAGCTAAAACAACATTCTCCTCAGAATCTTTGACATCAATAAAATAACCTACTTCCCTTTTGTCAGTGCTCCCTGTCTTTTTAACAGCATTCCAAAGACTTCAGCAGAAGCAATCACCAATCTGTTAGAAACCTCTAGTTTGTAATAATTTATTTCATTAGCAGTACTGATATCTTTCAATAGACTATAAATAAGTACTAGGGATATAATAAAAAATTTTTTCAAGAAATAGTTACTAATAACTATTAAAGTCAAGTCACAGCTAATCAATTACTCTAATAAAGGAAACAACAGCCAATTAAAGCAGTTGCATACAAGTGTATGTCAACTTAACTTCTTTAAGGCACAAATTATCACATTATTATATATGTAAGTTACTCTAATTACCATCTCTAAAATGCAAGAGTAACTATTACTAAAGGTTTGCAATAGTAACAGGATATGCACTTCAAATGATGGGATGAATGTACGAATGGAGGAGAGCGACACTGCAAATAAATTCAACTAGGCCAAGCTGTCCCCGTCCAATCAACATTCCATTCCAAGCAAGGCACAACCAAAAACAATGCCCCAAATTATCACTCTGGATGCTTGGGCCAGTGTCCATTAAGAAAGAATTCTAACTGTCAAATCATAAGGAGTCTTCTCCTAAAAAGCCCTACTTTAAAATGTTTTCATCTCAGGTAAGGAGTGAGGAGCTACAGCAATGCCACACCCTGAGCATCCGGGGATGCAGGGCTCAGGCCACCCCAACACTCACCTTTTCTATAAGGAGTTTCTTGCTCATTGTCACACATCGATTTAATCGTTCTTTGTACTTTTCTAGCATCTTTTGCTGCTCATCAATCTGCCGCCTCAAATCACAGTTGGCCTTCAAGGGGAAAACATTTTTTAAATTAGCTCCAAGGAAGACAGATTAATACATCAGCAGCTTTTAGGGAGTCCAAACATAATTTCTTATTGCTCAATCAAAAGCAAAATTAAGGTTCAAAGAGCTAAGAGTAACCAGATTTAAAAAACAAATACTTCATTCCTTTAGTCTCTCTTCATAAACTTATCTATTTAATAAAGATGAATTGTTTCTACAAGTGGGCATGTTTTTCTACTGATCATATTTTACTCCTCTCAAAAGGCAGTTACAGGTAAATCTAGTACATCACATATACCTAAACCGTCGCAAAATAAAAAAACCTACAATTAATGAGATGTTTAAAATACATTCAAAAGGTGATTAAGCACTTTATAGCACTCACAAAATACTTACAAAGGATAATTAAACATAAAAAAATTACAGAATTTTAAAAAAACCACATAATGTTTTTATGTTCAATTGTTCTTTTTCTATTCTTGTTTCCAAAGAAAGAGAGACATGAATTTACATAAATGTTTCTTACCAGAGAAGCCAGGCACACCCATGCCCGCATAAGACAGAACTAACAAACAAGATGAATACGAGGTCCTGGTTCTCAAGAATGCCAGAATGTAAATACACAGTTAATTTAGCTGTGGTCAGCAGAATGGGCTAAATACTTTGAAAAAGTCAAACCTCCTACAATAACAGAGAAGGGAAGAACCACTAACCCAAGGTCAATTTTAACTTGCAATTTTTAAACTTATTCTTTTTTTTTTTTTTAAGATTTTATTTATTTATTTATTTGAGAGAGAGAGAGAGAAACAGCATGAGAGGGGATAGGGTCAGAGGGAGAAGCAGGCTCCCTGCCGAGCCGGGAGGCCGATGCGGGACTCGATCCGAGGACTCCAGGATCATATCCTGAGCCGAAGGCAGTCGCTTAACCAACTGAGCCACCCAGGCGCCCTAAACTTATTCTTGTATTAACAAAAGATCTCTACTCTTTCAGGAAATAAATGCTACTTTATAATAATGTGCTTGAGTTGTGAAAAAAGATCTGGCATTTCCCAATCAAATGATAGAAGTGTTTCTGAAACACTAAAAAGCACAAATGGAAGATATTACAGCACACGCAATTTCTGAGACTTCACAGCTTCATTTTTAAAGTGGCCCATGTACAACAGCTTCCAGCTCCAATTTCTACTCATATGTATAATTTCTATCAGTTCTTACAGAGTTCTATGGACCACTCTATCAAAGGCAAAGTGTAAGTACATTTGGGTAAATGTGACTAATTCATAATAAAGAATCTACAGGGTCCCTGGCTGGCTCAGTTTGGTAGAGCCTGCGATGCCTGATCTCAGGGTTGTGAGTTCAAGCCCCATGTTGGGTGTAGAGATCACTTAAAAATAAAATCTTAAAAAAAAAAAAAAAAAAAGAATCTGTAAGACAAAGACTACGTAATGTTTACATAAAATTCAATCTCCTTTTGGAAGGTGAGGATTCCCTTAAAATCTATAATCAAATGTATGGAATCAAACTCTGGCAGCTTATTTAAACTTTTAAGAACTCCAGGGGAGCCTGGCTGGCTCAGTCGGTAGAGCATGCGACAACTCTTGATCTCGGGGACGTGAATTCAAGCCCCACGTTGGGTGCAGAGCTTACTTTAAAAAAAAAATTAAATTTTAAGGGGCAACTGGTTGGCTCAGTCGGCTGAGGGTCTGACTCCTGATTTCAGCTCAGGTCATGATCTCAGAGTTGTGAGATTAAGTCCCGTGTCAGGCTCCGCACTGGGCATGGAGCCTGCTTAAGATTCCCTCTCTCGGGGCGCCTGGGTGGCTCAGTCGTTAAGCGTCTGCCTTCAGCTCAGGTCATGATCCCAGGGTCCTGGGATCGAGCCCCACGTCGGGCTCCCTACTCTGCAGGAAGCCTGCTTCTCACTCTCCCACTCCCCCTGCTTGTGTTCCCTCTCTCGCTGTCTCTCTCTCTGTCAAATAAAATCTTTAAAAAAAAAAAAAAGATTCCCTCTCTCCCTCCCTTTCCCTCTACCCACCCCGCTCCCCCCACCTCTGCTTGTGTGCACACATACTCCTGCACAAGCTCTCTCTCTCTTAAAGACTTCAATAAAGAAGTAACAAAATAAAATACAATAAAATAAATTTGACAGAGAGAGAGAGAGAGAGAGAGAGGGAGGGAGAGGGAGAGCACAGAGGGAAAGTGAGGGGGAGAAGCAGACTCCCCGCTGAGTAGAGCGCCCAATGCGGGACCCAATCCCAGAACCCTGAGATCAAGACCTGAGCCGAAGGCAGACACTTAACTGACTGAGCCACCCAGATGTACCAAAATACAATAAAATTTTAACAACTCTAAATTTTTGTGGTTTTCTAGCACGAACAACTTTGTATTCAGGTTTAAAACAGCACCTGCCTATAGCCTCCTGATGCAGCCTTATCCAACATCGCACCAAAATGGAAAAACCCAACGAACCAACCATGCCTGCCTGAAGGGAGACGTAAGGAGCGCTCATTCCCTGCCCCTCCAGATCAGAAACACAAATTCTTTAAAAAAAAAAAAGATTTTATTTATTCATTTATTTGAGAGAGTGAGAGAGAGAGCACATGAGAGGGGGGAGGGTCAGAGGGAGAAGCAGGCTCCCTGCCGAGCAGGGAGCCAGATGTGGGACTCGATCCCGGGACTCCAGGATCATGACCTGAGCCGAAGGCAGTCGCTTAACCAACTGAGCCACCCAGGCGCCCCAGAAACACAAATTCTAATCAACTTGGAAAATGTGGCAGCCACTTTCGGTGTCTTCCTTTTTGACACCTCCATTTCTTTGGTATTGTTCTACAGCCAAAGAAAAGACTACAACCTTCAGAAAACAAGGGAGTAAAAGGTGGATAATGGTGAGTAAAGGGAACATACGGTTTCCTAGAAAATGAAAGCAGTCATTTTTTTTAAATTCAAAAAGAATACTAAGTCAGGATTCAAGTTTTTCATATACTCCATCTTCTCAATCTTAAAAGTCGGCTGAAGAAAAGAGATGAGCCCATGATCATTTTTCAGTCCAGCAGAGCTTCTCTGGACAAAACCCTGTCAGTCCTGAAATTGGGCTAGGAGCTTTTTAAAGCCCCAGTCTACCTAATTAAAACCCTGGCAATTCAAGCAGCACCCATATGAACAAAAACAGGCATAAGAGCAACCTCAAGCAAACACATCTGCTAACGAGGGAAGATGGAAGGTAGGTACTGAGTCTAAATATGCCTCTCCTCGCTGAAAGCTGGAGCAAAGGAAACAACCAAAACACAGACCTAAGTAAAAATATTTCTGAGTAAGGAAAAGAACATTAGCTTGAGAATGATGAAAATGATCTCCCTAAAGAATCAAAAGAACATTTTAGAATACAGCTTGTCATATTCCATAAAACACAAAAAGACATGGTGTCTATGAAATCAGAGCCAAAAACCATAAAGAATGTACAGGGTGGACTAAGAATCTTAAGTGAATTAGATACGGGGAAAAAGTAAACTAAAAATGTAAATAACAGAATCAAAACTGACAAAATATACAGTAAACAGCAGAAAATATAAGATAAATTAATTTTTAATGAGATAGAGAAAAGAAGGTCAATCTTATTAAATAAGACTTGAAGTGATAGAAATAAGGGGAAGAGATCAGGGGTTCAAGCTAGAAACCAAGGAAGAGGCCAACGTAAGACAGAAAGAGGCAAAAATTAAGCACAACCACACATTTCCAGAATAAAAATTTAGAGACGCATGTACAGATGTACCCTGGCAAAATTTTTTGAAATACAAAAATAAGGGGAGAGAGTACCTATAATCAACACAGAAAACAGATTACAGTGTTTGTTCCTTTGGTCACGGTCTTCTCAGAAATAGTAAATGCTAAAAAAAAAAAAAAAAAGTAAAAGGTGCACACACATGTATGTATGTGTGTCTTACAATAAGGCGGTGAGAGGAGAAGGCTAACAGGTTATGACACAAAATACCTTTTTTTGGGGGGGGAGAGTACGGAATTTACTTTATTGTTCTGAGTCTGGGTTTTGTTCACAAAATACCTTTTATATGGGAAGGCAAGAGAGAGAATTCTCAGATCTACAAGGAAACAAAAAACTTAACACTGATATATCCTTCTTCAAAACTAATTACTTAAAATGTATGTCAGTCAACTAAAAGTAAGAAGACAAAAACTATGATTTAAAAAATATACTGCCACATTAACAAAAGAAAGAACAAGAATCATATGATCCTCTCAACAGATGCAGAAGAAGCTTTTGACAAAGTACGCATCCTTTCTTGATCAAAACTCTTCAGAGTATAGGGATAGAGGGTACATACCTCAATATCATAAAAGCCATCTATGAAAAACCTACAGCGAATATCATTCTCAATGGGGAAAAACTGAGAGCTTTCCCCCTAAGGTCAGGAACGCGGCAGGGATGTCCACTATCACCACTGCTATTCAACATAGTATTGGAAGTTCTAGCCACAGCAATCAGACAACAAAAAGAAATCAAAGGCATCCAAATTGGCAAAGAAGAAGTCAAACTCTCACTCTTTGCAGATGATAGATACTTTATGTGGAAAACCCAAAAGACTCCACCCCAAAACTGCTAGAACTCATACAGGAATTCAGTAAAGTGGCAGGATATAAAATCAATGCACAGAAGTCAGTGGCATTCCTATACACCAACAACAAGACGGAAGAAAGAGAAATTAAGGAGTCGATCCCATTTACAATTGCACCCAAAACCATAAGATACCTAGGAATAAATCTAACCAAAGAGACAAAGGATCTGTACTCAGAAAACTATAAAATACTCATGAAAGAAATTGAGGAAGACACAAAGAAATGGAAAAACGTTCCATGCTCATGGATTGGAAGAACAAATATTGTGAAGATGTCAATGCTACCTAGAGCAATCTACATATTCAATGCAATCCCCATCAAAATACCATCCACTTTTTTCAAAGAAATGGAATAAATAATCCTAAAATTTGTACGGAACCAGAAAAGACCCCGAATAGCCAAAGGAATGTTGAAAAAGAAAAGCAAAGCCGGCAGCATCACAATTCCGGACTTCAAGCTCTATTACAAAGCTGTCATCATCAAGACAGCATGGTACTGGCACAAAAACAGACACATAGGTCAGTGGAACAGAGTAGAGAGCCCAGAAATGGACCCTCAACTCTATGGTCAACTAATCTTCGACAAAGCAGGAAAGAATGTCCAATGGAACAAAGACAGTCTCTTCAACAAATGGTGTTGGGAAAATTGGATAGCCACATGCAGAAGAATGAAACTGGACCATTTCCTTACACCACACACAAAAAGAGACTCCAAATGGTTGAAAGACCTCAATGTGAGACAGGAGTCCATCAAAATCCTAAAGGAGAACACAGGCAGCAACCTCTTCAACCTCAGCCGAAGCAACCTCTTCCTAGAAACATCGCCAAAGGCAAGGGAAGCAAGGGCAAAAATGAACTATTGGGACTTCATCAAGATAAAAAGCTTTTGCAAAGCAAAGGAAACAGTCAACAAAACCAAAAGACAACCGACAGAATGAGAGAAGATATTTGCAAATGACATATCAGATAAAGGTCTAGTATCCAAAATCTATAAAGAACTCATCAAACTCAACACCCAAAGAACAAAGAATCCAATCAAGAAATGGGCAGAAGACATGAACAGACATTTTTCCAAACAAGACATCCAAATGGCCAACAGACACATGAAAAAGTGCTCAATATCGCTTAGCATTAGGGAAATCCAAATCAAAACCTCAATGAGATACCACCTCACACCAGTCAGAATGGCTAAAATTAACAAGTCAGGAAACGACAGATGTTGGCGGGGATGCGGAGAAAGGGGAACCCTCCTACACTGCTGGTGGGAATGCAAGCTGGTGCAGCCACTCTGGAAAACTGTACGGAGGTTCCTCAAAAAGTTGAAAATAGAGCTACCATATGATCCAGCAATTGCACTACTGGGTATTTACCCCAAAGACACAAAAGTAGGGATCCGAAGGGGTACGTGCACCCCTATGTTTATAGCAGCAATGTCCACAATAGCCAAACTGTGGAAAGAGCCAAGATGTCCATCGACAGATGAATGGATAAAGAAGATGTGGTCTATATACACAATGGAATATTATGCAGCCATCAAAAGGAATGAGATCTTGCCATTTGCAACGACGTGGATGGAACTGGCTTATGGTTTAGATATGTGCTCAATTCCAGGTTTTATACAGGAGGGAGTCAAATACACTACTTTTTGATTTTGATTTTGATAATTACGGACTAGAGGTAAAATCTTCTAGAGGGAGATAATCACAGTAACTTTTATTATCTTTATTAATAAACATTACTATTATTGTTAATAAACAAAACCCTTTCTTCAAACCATCTTACCCAATAATAAAGAAAAACTGCAGATCCCCACCCATCTGTGTCATGGGAGCCCTGGAGGTTCCTCCAACAGAACCTTCAAGGCCCCATGGAGCCAGCTGGAAAACTACTGCATTAGTACAAATGATGATCAAACCTATACCTTCTAAATCACTGGAGAAGATAAAATTATTAATCAATTTTATTTATACATCAGTAAGACTTATTTATATATGCATTTATATATGTGTATATATACACACACTACAAATGGCTCAAAATTACTGAAGGAAATGTACCAAATGTTTTACTTGGTTAATGGAATTATGGGTGTCATATTTTTCAGTATTCTCTAAATTTATAAAGAGCATATACTGCTTTTATAATAAAAAAAAGTTTTTTATTTTTTATTTTTTTTTAAAGATTTTATTTATTTTACACAGAGAGACACAGCGAGAGACGGAACACAAGCAGGGGGAGTGGGAGAGGGAGAAGCAGGCTTCCCGCTGAGCAGGGAGCCCGATGCGGGGCTCGATCCCAGGACCCTGGGATCATGACCTGAGCCGAAGGAAGACGCTTAATGACTGAGCCACCCAGGCGCCCCGACAAAGTTTTTTAAAGAAGGGGTCAGTCAATATGCTAAATTGCATATGAAAAATATCTTTTTAAAATATCATGGTGTATTTCCTAAAAGTATCTTTTAAATTCCAGATTAGGTATTTTTGAAGTTTCTCTTGTAAGCACAAAAACCTTTAGACGAATACTGATATAAAAGACACAAAATGCTAGGGTGCCTGGGTGGCTCAGTCGTTAAGCAGCTGCCTTCAGCTCAAGTCATGATCCCAGGGTCCTGGAATCAAGCCCCGCATCGGGCTCCCTGCTCAGCGGGAAGCCTGCTTCTTCCTCTCCCACTCCCCCTGCTTGTGTTTTCTCTCTCACTGTTGTCTCTCTCTGTCAAATAAATAAATAAAATCTTAAAAAAAAAAAGACACAAAATGCAAAAGCAGCCGGGCTGAAAAGTACCTATGAAATAGTTTTAAAAATTCAAGAATATTACAAAAACTTCTCTGGAATAGAAACAGTATTTTATGTTGTTTCTCACAGTTCCAGATGAAACACATACTCCATGTATCTATTTCTCTAGTATATATTTAAATATTAAAATCCTACAACATAAGATTTCCAATTTAAAGATAAAGCTTAGAATATAGGTTTGATCCTAGTTCCTACTCAGATTCCCTCAGATTAAAGGAAAATATCCAAATGTTTATTAATATTTGTTATTTGGTTGACAGTAATTATGATATGTGCATAATCCAAATATACATAGTATCAATCAGTGCTTGTTATAAAATCTCTTACCACATTTTAATACTTACTCTTAACAAATCATCTATTCTTCCTTCCTTCTTTTCTAAGTCAGAATTCTTACTGTTTTCTAGTGCAGATATTTTTTCTATTGTGAGGTCAGACTATACAAAGAGAAAACAAATTAAGATTAGTCTCAAAATACTACATGTCATCATACTTTTCTCATTACTTTTCTGGGGGAAAAAAGGACTTGCTAACACAGCCTGGAATCACATGGCTAAAGAAATTAAATCTGCTTTTCTCAACCCATTCTTTAAGCCTTATATTTTGCTACACCTGCACTTCAATGTTAACTCTGGTATCAAATATATGAATTCTCAAATGATTGTGCATTGAGCAATACAGAAACATACTACTCTAGAAATGAAACTAACTGTGAATAGAAAAGGAGTTCAGAGGAGAGAGGAACCAAATCTCTAAAGAACTAACATGCCACCTAGTGGAAACAAAGAACAATCAGAAGGGGAGAAATGAAGTTTTCTGAATCAAAAGTCTGGTTCAACTGTCCAAAAGCTGCTCATTCAAATAAAATTAAAATCTACTCCTGACAACTGTATAGCTCTTAAGATTTAAGAAATTCTCTTAAATTGCCAAGCATCTTGTCTTGAAGGTAACACACTGCCAAGAGGCTTCAAGAAAACACAGTGTAGGGCGCCCGGGTGGCTCAGTTGGTTAAGCGTCTTCCTTCGGCTCAGGTCATGATCCCAGGGTCCCGGGATCGAGCCCCGCATCGGGCTCCCTGCTCTGCGGGGAGCCTGCTTCTCCCTCTCCCACTCCCCCTGCTTGTGTTCCCTCTCTCGCTGTGTGTCTCTCTCTCAAAATAAATAAATAAAATCTTTAAAAAAAAAAAAAAAGAAAGAAAACACAGTGTACTATTTGGCTAGCTCAACACTACAGAATGGAGGATGTATCCACTATCCTTTTCAGATACTAACTTTGAATGTTCACAACATTCCCTAAATTAAAAAGAGTTTCTGAAAACTTTACAGAGGAAATTATGTTCGTGTGCCACATGTTAAAGGAGTCTAGTTAGGTCTTGTCAAATAAGCAGGTACAAGGAATAAATTAACTACTTTCATAAAGTAGGGAATTAACATTCACTGAAGTGTATTAAAAGGCTTGCCCTAATAAGCATTTTGCATACATTGTCTGAGAGAACTAGAATCAACCACATTTTACAGATGATTTGTATTCAAGAACTGAGGCCCAAAAAGATAGTGTAAGTTGTAGAGGCAGGATCTGAACCCAGCCCTAGAGGTCTCCAAAGTAAGTGCTTTTTCAGTACCATGCTACAGTATAAGCATTTCTCTGCAACACACCAGAATGGTAAAGAAACACCTCAAAAAGTTAAAGCACCTTCCAAAAGACTTTAATACGCAAAATACAAGTTCTGAGTAAAATACACACAAATAATGAGGTAAAGTCGGAGAAATAAAGGAAAGACAAAGAGAGGACTCACAGATTTTATATGTGGTTAGCATTTATTCCTAAGCACATCTTTTCCTCTGTATATTGGTCACCAACCTACCTGGGTCTGTCTGTGCTGGATGGAGATCTGTTTTTGGGAGCTGCCGGAATGCTCTGTGTTGCCAGATCCCGTAGAGGAGGGACTGTTTTGCTGAGCCTGTAATAAAGGTACATCAACCAATCACTAGAAAGTTTTGCATCTTTCTCCATAGACATTTGCTGTTTCGTTTTGTTTTTTAGATTTTTTATTTTTTTTTAAAGTAATCTCTATACCCAATGTGGGGCTCGAACTCACAAACCTGGGATCAAGAGTCACATGTTCCACCAACTGAGCCAGCCAAGCATCCCCCTCCACAAACACTTGTATGAATGCAAACAATTATACAAAACAAACTCCTTCTGATGAAAGTCAGAAGTCAGGGCCATATAGCCAAGATGAAAGTAAAACAATTTAAATGAGAAGCAAGGTTTAACATGATAGCATGGATCATGTCCCTGTAAATAGTCTTAAGTATCAAATGTGCCCAAACGAATTTTTAAATATGTAAATTAGAGAAAATTAAAAGTTATTCCTGTAATAACATGTCCTTTTCACTTATATGGCAACATGCCTTTGTCAGAAAAGGCTGGTGAAGCATCCAATGCCCGGGGGATGCCTGGAACTCTGGGCAGAAAGAACTGTGAACTACTATTCAGAATAATCTTCTAAATCCACACACATTATCCATGAACACACAGTCGTCCAAAAATCCAGGATGATTTCCAACACTGTCACTTGGATGATCATAACTTTTATACACAAGTGATAGGGCATTCTAAGGCATCTTAAAATTTAGAAGGCTTAAGTCTCAAAAGAATTCAACTATTTAGGAATATATAATCATACTCCCAAAAGTTGTTTTACTTTTTTAAGATTTTATTCATTTGAGAGAGAGAGAATGATGGGGGGGGGTGCATGGGGCAGAGGCAGAGGGAGAGGGACAAGCAGACTCCCTGCTGAATGCAGAACCAGATGTGGGGCTTGATCCCAGGACCCCAAGATCATGACCTGAGCCGATGTCAGACACTTAACTGACTGTTCCACCCAGGCGTATCACCCCCAAAGTCCTCTTAAAAACAAGACTAAACTTAACATGATACAACCCATCACAGACATAATTAGGAAATACTGGATATTCTGAGGATTATGGGCTAATAGCAATACATCTACTGTTACCATCTATCAGAGAATGTAGTGTTTCCACATATGTGAATTTTGATACTTTCTATATATTCCTTAACTATTTCTCTCTTTTTTTTTAAGATTTTATTTATTTTTATTTGAGAGAGAGAGAATGAGAGAGAGGGAGTACATAAGAGGGGGGAGGGTCAGAGGGAGAAGCAGACTCCCCACTGAGCAGGGAGCCCGATGCGGGACTCGATCCTGGGACTCCAGGATCATGACCTGAGCCGAAGGCAGTCGCTTAACCAACTGAGCCACCCAGGCGCCCACTATTTCTCTTATTTTTTTAAAAAGATTTTATTTATTTATTTGAGAGAGAGAGAGAGTGAGAAAGAGCACGAGGGGTAGAGGGTCAGAGGGAGAAGCAGGCTCCCCGCTGAGCTGGGAGCCCGATGTGGGACTTGATCCCAGGACTCCGGGACCACGACCTGAACCGAAGGCAGTCGCTTAACCAACTGAGCCATCCAGGTGCCCTATTTCTCTTATTCATTAACATTGGACCAATGCTATGCCCACTACCTACTGAGTACTGTCTGCTAACTGCTTGACTGTGATGGTCACAGGCCAATCCTTACAAAACCCTATAAAATAGTTATTATTATTTCCATTTATAAAGAAAATGCAAATCAGAGATATTAAGCACCTCTGCAGGGTCAGAGAGCTAGTAAATGGGAGAGCATGAATTAAGGGCTACCTGTATCCACAAGAACCACTCTCACGAGCCACAGCAGACTGACTAGCTCCCATTAACAATTAGGGATACTGTCCCAACCAGGCCACAAGCAAGCTAATAAGCACTTCATACACATAATCATTCTGAAGGCTCACAACAGCCCTGTAAGTAGGGTAGGCAGTATTATCTCCATCTGTATTTATTCATTCAACAACTGCTCACTCCCTATGTCTGAGCACTATGTTGGGTGTTAGGGACACAATGACCAAGTAAAACAGACATAAAACCCACAGGCCCAGTCTTTATTCTGCCTTAATAAAGCTTACAATCCCAGAAAAGATTTTTTTTTTTTTAAGATTTTATTTATTTATTTGAGAGAGAATGAGAGAGAGCACATGAGAAGGGTTAGGGTCAGAGGGAGAAGCAGACTCCCTGCCGAGCAGGGAGCCCGATGCAGGACTCGATCCAGGGACTCCAGGATCATGACCTGAGCCGAAGGCAGTCACTTAACAAACTGAGCCACACAGGCACCCCCCGGAAAAGATTTATTAAGCACTCAGTAAATATTTATTGAAAGAAACTGTTAAATAATCATATAATAAACACAAAATTCCAACTGAGATAAGTGCTATAAAAGTATACAACAGGGCACAAAATCTAATCTAGAGTCAGGGATGAATTCCTCGGGAAAGTGGTATCAGGGTTAAGATTTGAAGGAAATAAGCAGTCAAGGAGAGCAGATGATCAGATCATTCCTAGGAGAGAATGTATAGGTGAACACAAGGGGAAGGGAGAAGACTGATGTGGGTGTCAAAGAAGTAAAAAATGTGAAATCAGTCTCAAAGAGGTCGAGCAACATGCACAGCCTGTAAGTGCTAGAGCTGTGATTAGAGCCAGCTGTAGCGAAGTCCAAATAACTGAAAATGTTCTTTACTCTTTCTATGATGCAGCAAAGCTTTTTTTTTTTGTTTTTAAGATTTTATTTCTTTATTTGACAGAGAGAGACACAGTGAGAGAGGGAACACAAGCAGGGGGAGTGGGAGAGGGAGAAGCAGGCTTCCCACAGAACAGTGAGCCCGATGTGGGGCTCGATCCCAGGACCCTGGGATCATGACCTGAGCCGAAGGCAGACGCTTCACCAAGTGAGCCACCCAGGCGCCCCAAGCTTTTTTCTTTCTCTCTTAATAGTTAATAAGGGTCATAATTATGAACCTCAAGTGTTATACTGAAGTATAGGAGCATTATCTCCTTCAGTTATCATTAGATTGCTCTTACAAATCCTCTTCTTTTAAAGTGTATTTCTAAACAAATATGACTGTTAGAACTATAATTATAATAAGAGCCAATAAGCACATGACTGGGGCACCTGGGTGGCTCAGTCCGTCAAGCATCCAACTCTTGATGATCCAACTGAGCTTAAGGCAGACGCTTAACGACTGAGCTACGCAGGCGCCCCTGCAAAGATATTTTTAAAATGAAATCATAATAGCACTAAGAAACAAGACAGAGCCATGGATCAGAAATATTTTAAAATTTTAAATTTTAAGAAACATTCAAAAGTAGCTGGCTTCAAATTGACAGAAAAAGTGAAATAAAGAAATTCATAGCTCAAAACATCAACAGTGAAACAGGCTGGGCCTTTTCAAGGGAGTTCCTGAAAAGCTTTTATACTGAGACTTACATTTGCAAAAATCAGGAGTACGTATGTGACAATTACCACACAATTTAAAACCTATAAGGTCCAGTAAAGGTCCCCTTGATCCCCCCTTGCATACTGAGGGGCATGGATACTACCACCTCTGACCCCAGGACAAAGCACAAGAACAGATGTCTTAAATAAAGCCGAAAAAAAAAAAAGTAAATATTTAAAAATGAAACAAAAGTGGGAGGGATGACTCCTGGTATGAATACTGTGGCTTGAGGAAAAAAGCAAAGAAAGTACAGTACCCCCGCCTTCCACAACGGATACAATGGAATGTACTTAAAGAGTAAAAGAGTTTACTCATCAAAACAAAGCCCTCCTTATTTTGACATCTGTAGAAGAGCTGGTCTTTCTGCCCAAAGTTTACCAGACACTCAGAGCTCACAGTCAGCCCTCCCACTACTTGGGAAGCAGCACTATGCCACTTGGACAGGAAAAGACATGCCAACCTCTATTAACCACCCTAATTCATTCAGCTAAAGCCAAACACACATTTTCTTTTTTAAAAAAAGATTTTATTTATTTGTCAGAGAGAGAGAGAGAGAGAAAGCACAAGCAGGCAGAGTAGCAGGCAGAGGGAGAGGGAGAAGCAGGCTCCCCGGTGAGCAAGGAGCCCAATGCAGGACTCAATCCCAGGACCCTGGGATCATGACCTGAGCTGAAGGCAGATGCTTAACTGACTGAGCCACCCAGGCGTCCCCAAACACACATTTTCAAGAAACCAACAGCACAAAAGGGAAGATCCAACATGAAAAGACAAAAGATCCAAGAGAAAACAGATAATTCAATAAAAACAACTTTAAAAGTAAAAAGTTCAAAGAGGGCCAAAGGATACTACAGCTATAAAAATGATGAAACAGCAAAGAACATGAAAAATAAACTTAACAAAATAGATTATTAAAAATTTGAAAACTGAATAGATTAGCTAAATAATAAAATGAACATAGTTGAATACAGAATCAGTCATCTGGAAGACAATGTCAAGAAAATCTCCCAGAAGATAAAACAGAAAGTCAAAGCAGGAAAGAAAAGTTAAGAAACATGAACAACACAGAGGTTCCAAAACAATCTATTAGACTTTCCAGAGGAAAAGAACAAAGAGAAAGAAATAATCAAGGAACAGTAAAATAAAAATTTCTGAGGTAAAAAGGTATGTTTTAAGAGTAAAAAAGCCTACTAGAACAAGCAGCATTAATGGAGAAAAAAGTAGTGGAGAGACTTCAAGAACAAAAAGATACCACATGATTATCTCAACTGATACAGAAAAAGCACCCAGCACACTCTCATTTTTTTAAATTTAAATTCAATTAACACATAGTATATTATTAGTTTCAGAGGCAGAGTTCAGTGATTCATCAGTCTTATATAACACCCAGTGCTCATTACATCTTGTGCCCTCCTTAATGTCCATCACCCAGTTACCCCATTCCCCCAACCCCTTCCCCTCCAGCAACCCTCAGTTTATTTCCTATGATTAAGAGTCTCTTATGGTTTGTCTCCCTCTCTGATTTCATCTTGTTTTATTTTTCTCTCCCTTCCCCTATGCTCCTCTGTTTTGTT